CCCTGTAGTGGCTTTTAAACTGATGGGGAGTCTGGAAGACAGGTCCTCTTAGCCCACAGCTGGGTTGCTCGCCGCTGGGTCATGTGGAATTCCAGACCCCACCTCTTCTCATCAGTTTTATCTCAAGTGGGTTCCCATCATCTTTGTGTCCCAGACACAGTGAGGTGTTTCTTTTCCATCACTTAAAGGTAAACACACTTCACCTACAGCAGAGTTAGTAATACAAGGTCCTGTCCTAAGCCAATGTTGGTCCCGCAGGACTGCTGGACAGGTAAAGGGATACGACATCACAGGAGGCTCAGGGAGGTGGTATGGTGCTGTGGTTCAGGTGTGGACTTTGGCCACTGACAGACCCAAACTCAAATTCCAGCTGCTGCTTTTGGCTGTGTGCATCTGTAAGTTCATTGGCTCTGAACCTGGATTTCCTCCTCTGTAAAATGGAGGAAGTAATTCTTGTCTCGGGATTATGAGAGTGAAATGGGGCTTGGGGTGTAAAATGCTTGGCTTGATGCCTGCCAAGCAGGAAATGCTTGTGGTGGTAGCTACAATACTGTGAAGGGTTCTGAGGTTTAGGCTCCACCCCTCCCAGCCCAGTCCCCTCTAATCAGGAAAGCCCGAGAATCTATAGCTTCTGGCCATAGAGCTCTGCTGGACCTTCTGACCCTCTGTGTCCCCAGACAGCACCCAAGAAAACCTCATTTGGCTCACTGAAGGATGAAGACCGGATCTTCACTAACCTGTATGGCCGCCATGACTGGAGGTGAGCTGGTACCCTTAGCCTGGTGTGTCCCAGGGCACGGCCTCCCTTTGACTGACTTCCCCACCCCGTCCAGGCTGAAAGGTGCGCAGAGTCGAGGTGACTGGTACAAGACAAAGGAGATCCTGCTGAAGGGGCCTGACTGGATCCTGGGTGAAGTCAAGACGTCAGGCTTGCGGGGCCGTGGAGGCGCTGGCTTCCCCACTGGCCTCAAGTGGAGCTTCATGAATAAGCCCTCAGATGGCAGGTGTGTGTAGGAAGGCAGAGATGGGGTTGCAGGAGAGACCTTGGGGGTGGCTGTTCCTTACCTGGGCCTTTGGGCTGCTTCCCTAGAAATTAAATGAATGAAGTGGGAAAACGTCACCAGAACTTATGTAGGTGGTACTGAGTTCTCTCTGGTCTTCCTCAGGTGAGACTTGAGAGATAAAGAAATCAACACAAGAATTTGACTCAGGCAGACTTAATTGATTAAGTCCTAGCTCTGCCTTGTAATCATTTGGTGTCGACCAGTCTCCTGGCCTTTTTGAACCTGTTTTCTTTTTTGTAAGTGGATATTATGTTGTGTAGGGTTAAAGAGATAATGTTCGTACAGCTTTTGACCATAGAGATGTGGTGGAGGTTCAGGAAGGCTCTTTGTGATCAAGTGCAGAATTTGGGTGCTTAGAGAAAGCACAAAGAAAATATTTGAACTGAACAGAACAGAGACTTTTCCTGTGGTCATAGCCACAGGATGGAATAGGCAGTGTCATTGGTGATGAGCCAGCATTGGTGGTGACCATGCGCTGGGGACAGAGGGATTGGCTGTCAGTGGAGACATCTTTAAGGCTTTCCTCGGTGGACTGGGGTTGAAGGCGGTTGAAGGCTCAGCCCTGGTAGCCCTGTAGCCTAACTGACCTGCTGGCCCCCACAGGCCCAAGTATCTAGTGGTGAATGCAGATGAGGGGGAGCCAGGCACCTGCAAGGACCGGGAGATCATACGCCACGATCCCCACAAGTTGGTGGAAGGCTGCTTAGTCGGGGGCAGGGCCATGGGCGCCCGTGCTGCCTACATCTACATCCGGGGAGAGTTCTACAATGAGGCCTCCAATCTTCAGGTGGGCAAGGGGAGAGGCATCAACAAAGGAGAAGGTGCTTGGTGTGAACGCAGGCTTGCTTCCCTGGCATAATTGTTCTTAAATTTTAGTGCCTGCTCTGTCTGGGGTCAAACCAGCAGAGTGGTGACCACTTCTACATGCATCGTGAATGGGATGCGGCCCCAGAGCCGCCACCTCAGGGCTCTCCCTGTGTGTTGAGAGGCCTTCTAGGGCTCGGGTACTCACTCGAGCATTTTCCTGTCAAAGGGTCAAGGGGTTATTTCAGGAGTTCTGAGCTCGGTGATGCCTGTAGTGATGGGTGCGGGGCCAGTCTTACACTTGATGTTAGGCTCCTTCACAACAGCCACAGGGACCGTGGGAAGAGCACCTGAAACAGTGCCTGGCACGTAGTAGCATTATGTGTATGTGTTCATTAGAACATATTTAGAAATAACTTCTAGGGTCTTTTCCTCTACTGCAGAAGTGGTGCCTATTCATTATAAAGATAGGAGGTTACACACAAATCTCCCATAGAGCCACTACCTAGAGAAACTACTTGTTAAAAATTTCATTATTTCCCCTAAGTCTTTCTTTTAAAAATACATTTAGTTGGAGGATTTGTTACATGTTGTTACTACAAAACTATCACACATTGTGAAAATCCCTTCCCTTTTCCCAGTGTCCTCCACTCATGTCCAGAAGGAGCTTTCACCCTGGACATTGGTGGTGGGCTCAACAGGCCTCTACCCCTCCCTCCCACACACAGTGTCCTCACACCCCTGTCCCACAGGTAGCCATCCGAGAGGCCTATGAGGCTGGTCTGATTGGCAAGAATGCTTGCGGCTCCGGCTACGATTTTGACGTGTTTGTGGTGCGTGGGGCTGGAGCCTACATCTGTGGGGAGGAGACTGCACTCATTGAGTCCATTGAGGGCAAGCAGGGCAAGCCCCGCCTGAAGCCGCCCTTCCCTGCAGACGTGGGTAAGACCGGGCCTCAATCTGGGCCTTGTGCTGTGTCCTGTGCAATCAAGGATCTGGCTTCAAGGCCCCACTCACTGGTTGTTCTTAGAGAAATGCGGAGTTCCCTCTGCCCTGGGGGCCAGACACAGAGTGGTAACAACAGAGAGGCTACACCAGTGCCACCTGCAATCCCTCATCCTGCCTCAGCCCCCACGTCAGACACCCAAGTCCTCCCCAACCCTTGGGGAACTAGGGGTAGGGTGGTAAAAGGTGATACACCTACTGCTGGGGTTTGGGGTCCAGTGGGGGATGGGAATAATAAGGGGGTGAATGGGGACTCTGCCCCTGGAGCAGGGCGCTGGGACAGACCGCACTGCCAACCTTTCTCCACCCTGTGGCAGCCACTGGTTTCTCATGCCATTCCCCGACAGGAGTGTTTGGCTGCCCCACAACTGTGGCCAACGTGGAGACCGTGGCCGTGTCCCCCACCATCTGCCGCCGTGGGGGTACATGGTTTGCCAGCTTCGGCCGCGAGCGCAATTCAGGCACCAAACTATTCAACATCTCTGGCCATGTGAACCACCCTTGCACTGTGGAGGAGGAGATGTCTGTGCCACTGAGGGAACTGATCGAAAAGCATGCCGGTAAGGCCTGGGGCCAGCCGGGCAGGAGACGCAGCAGGGAGTGCGTGGAGAGAGCCTGCCTGGGAGGCCTTGAGAGCTGCGCAGGGGCTGACAAAGGGCCTGGGTTTAGGACTAGGCAGCTGTGCCGGCCCCATCCCTGACCATCTCCTTTTGGGGACTGGGGCCCTAGGGGGTGTCACTGGTGGCTGGGACAACCTCCTGGCTGTGATCCCTGGTGGCTCATCCACCCCGCTGATCCCCAAGTCCGTGTGTGAGACAGTGCTGATGGACTTCGATGCACTGGTGCAGGCGCAGACGGGCCTAGGCACGGCCGCGGTGATCGTCATGGACCGCTCGGTAAGAGCTAGCCCGTGCTCCCCACCCAGTCCTTGCCTGAAGCTGGCCTGGTTAGTACCCTCCCTGGGCTTCTGCAAGAACCTTTACCGGCTCCTGGGTCCCCATTCCTGAGAGACAGTGAGGTGGGAGGGGAGGGGAGCAAGGCTGCTCTGGAGGAGAGTGCCCGGCATGTGGGCGGTGCAGATGGCCCAGAGGGCGGAGGAGGTGGCCAGAATGCCCCTGCAGTCGGGAGGGTGTGCTGCCGGGGGACCCGAGGCTCACTGCCCCCTGTCGCCCTAGACAGACGTTGTGAAGGCCATCGCTCGCCTCATTGAGTTCTACAAGCATGAGAGCTGCGGCCAGTGCACCCCATGCCGTGAGGGTGAGCACCCTGGGCAGGGTGGGGGTTCTCTCTGGGTTCACCCGAGGCTCAGGCCCAGCACAGGACAAAGGTAGACGGGGATCTGGACCCTGACTAAACAGCTGCTCCTCCGGGCCTGCCAGGGCCTCCCTGAGCGCCGTCCCCACATCCCGGCAGCAGCTCATCAGGCCCTCTCGCCATGGCTGCAGGTGTGGACTGGATGAACAAGGTGATGGCCCGCTTCGTGAGGGGGGACGCCCGGCCGGCAGAGATTGACTCTCTCTGGGAGATCAGCAAGCAGATAGAGGGCCACACCATCTGTGCTCTGGGCGACGGAGCCGCCTGGCCCGTGCAGGTACCCGCTGCCTGCTTTGTGGCATTAGGGGCATTGGGGGGTTTTCAGATCCCGCTTCACACGGTGCTCCCCCACCCCAGGGCTTGATCCGCCATTTCCGGCCAGAGCTTGAGGAGCGGATGCAGCGGTTTGCCCAGCAACACCAGGTCAGGCAGGCTGCCTCCTGAGCCCCTTGCCGGGGACTGAGTCCGTCTGTCTGGATAATAAAGCAGGTGCTGCCCACTCTCTTGCTTCTCGCCTGTCCTTGCTCTTCAGTGGCCCACCGCAGCCCAGTACCCACGGAGGCCCGTGTCCCGACAATCAGCTCGAGGTCTGTGGACCCCCCCTGGGCTTCCTGTGCCTCAGTCTGTCCTCAGTCATCCTGAGCACAGGGCCTCCATGCAGGAAGCAGGGGCAGGGACGAGGGCCTTTTCCTGGTGTGAGGGGAAAGCTGGCCGAGGGTCCAGACCGGAGCCTGGCCCCGTGCACGCCTCTGGAGGGTGGGAGCACAGAAAACAGGGCCCAGTCTGCCCAGGGAAAGAACAGCCTCTGTCTGCTCTGGTTTGGAGGAGAGGTTTATTCTTCCTTCATGACTCGGCAGTGAGGGGAATTTGAAAGGGGGAAAAGGAGGGAACAGTCTGACTAGAGAGGTGGGGAAGGCAGCCCCAGGTCCTCCCAGCTCCGTGGGGGCATCTAGGGCCAGTGTGGGGGAGGGGCAATGAGCAGGACCAGGCCGGGTGCCCCTGCTAGTCGCTGAGCTGGAGGGGCACGCCGTCCAGCGGGTGCCACAGCTCCAGCCGGCAGTCACTGCGGCGCAGGCACTCATGCCAGTGCCGCTGGCGCTCCCCACTGGCCCGGCTACTCAGCTGCACCCCACCTGGGTTGGGGAATGGGTCAGGAGCTATAATGGGAGCACATTGGGCACCCCCCAGCTCCCTTGCATTCCTACTCACCAATGAAGTCGTCAGCTGTGCCCAGGTCGTAGTCCCATACAGACACCAGCAGCGTCTTCTGGGCCAACTCATCCCTTGGGCCTGCGTAGAAGAATTCCTGTAGGAAGAGGGCAGAAAGGCCGGAAGGGCTGGCCTTAGTACTTCCCGGCTTCAGGAACAGCCTAGGCTCAGGCAGGTGAGTGGCTCCAGTTTGCCAGGCCCTGTGCTTGCTGACCGAGGCAGGACACTGCTGTCCCCTCCCCCAGAGCGGCCAGGGCTGCCTCTGCCTGGCCCTGGCCTACCTCATTGAACTCGGGGTTCAGGGTCTTCTTCCGAACACTGGTCTTGTACTTAGATTTCTTCCCCACATTTGGATGCAGAAAACTGGGGAGGATGGGGCAGGTTAGGTATGGCCCTGGAGAGGTGAGCCCCAGAGAGGCTCTGAGGAACTCCCACTGCCCACTTGTCCACCCCTGTTCATACTCACAGGCGGACAAAGGGGTCTGAGTAGCCATTGGTGTCCATGGGGGCAAGGTGGGCGCAGCGCAGCACCCCAACCAGCAAGCCACCCCGCTGAGAGCTGTAGCACAGTGACAGCAGGATGCGCCCACGTTCCTCCCCAGCCGCCTCCACTTCTACCTCCTCCTGCAAGGGCGGGCTGGGGTCATCCCCCGTGCAGCCCGAAGCCTACCCACCTACCCGTCAGTGTTGGCCGGCTGTGAGAACTGATGACTTGTCACAGCTCCATTTCCAGAAACAGTCACTGGCCTAGTGCTCTGGAAGGGAACTTACAGGACATCTACCCTCCAGGGCCTGACTCAGGCCATGTGACTGACCCGTTAGTGCGTCTCTGTCATGGAGGGAAGGGAACTGGTATGTCTGAGTGCCACAGTCACGCTAAGAGCTTCCTAAGTGACCATGACCACCTTCCTGCAGGCTAAGCCCCGTGTCAGGGGAAGCTGTTCTCGACCCCAGAACGCACAGGTCTCCAGCTACTGCCCAGGGGACCAGATTCTGGATGTCCTTTGCCACACTCAGCCCAGAGGTGCCCCAGTCCTTCGTGGGCCTGGCCTGGGCTAATCGGCAGCCACAGCAACATGCGGCTCCACTAGGTGGCAGTGCAGCAGCACCTGGCCCTTCCATCCAGGAGGAGCTGGGGAGGGCCTGCCCTGCTGGGCCCTGCGCGAGCCCCTGCGGGCCCCTTCTCCCACTCCTGACAAGGCCCTGTCTAGGGCTGCCAGCCCCAAGTGCAGCACCCAACCTGCCCCCGGGGCTGACTAGCCAGGGAGCCCCAGCCCCATCCTTTCTCTCCTGGACCTTGGCCTGCTTGGGACAGCTCAGGCTATAGACAAATTCCACCAGTTTCAGCCTCTGCCTCAAGCCAGCCAGCTTCCCTGCCCACCAAGGGCCTTGCCTGTCCCAGTGCCCCAGCTCCTCTGGGCTCTCCCTGCCCAGCCACTGCATCCGGCTGTTCCTCGGGGCTATGAGCACTCATGGGGACAAGGGGAGAGATGGACTCAGTTTCTCCAAGCCCTCCTGGGCCAGGACCACTCCTAGCAACCCTCCACACCCCACGTGCTCCCCAGCCCACCTGGTCCCTGGCTGACGCACTTCAGCCTGGGCTGCGCCGGGCTTGCCCCCTCACCCCTGCTTGGTCCCACCATCCTACCCACCTCATACAGGGACATGCCACGTGCTGTGTCCAGGCTCTTGGGCCTCTTGGTCTGAAAGAGCAGAGTGCCTGGTCACCTTGCTAGACACCATCCAGGTCCTCCTCCCAGCTCCTCCCCTTTCCAGCTTGCCTGTCACAAGGAGCTGGCCCCCAAAGCTCACCCTGTGCCCCACTCACCAGCCTCCACTTCTCCAGACACACATCGAAGCTTCTGGCCTGGTTGGGAACCAGCTTCCTCAGGGGCACTCGCAGCTCCCCCAGGGGAGGCGCCCGCCGCCGTCGCCGCAGCCGTGGGTCCTCACACACGCACAGCCTGATGGCCGTCCGGGTCAGACCCAGCCAGGCAGGCCCCCCACGCCCTGGCCCTGCCCCTCCGTGGCCCAGGCCCAGACTCACCGCAGGGTCTTGCGCCCGGCATCCTGGTGAGTGAAGCCATGATAGGTGAGTGTCTCCTCCCAGACAGGCCTCCTTGAGCCCCGAACCGTGCGTGTCTGCAGCTGGCTGGCCTGAGGGCAAGGCAGGGTGGGCCAGGGCCTCCTGGGCTCCAGGGCTCACCCTGACCCACCTCCCTGCCAGGGCCCCAGCTGCACATCCCAGCAATGGGGATCTCCATGGCTGAAGTCCAGGCTTTGGGCAGAGGAGCATGGTGGGAGCTCCAGGTGGGGTGTGTGGCCAAGGGGCCTGGGTGTCCCCCTTACCTTGCTGGCCCCTGGCAGCAGATTGGCTTTGACATAGGTGTCCACAGATCCTGAGGCTGGTGGCTTGAGGCCCTGGGAAGAGACGGTGGATGAGGGCAGGCCTGGCGCCCAGGCCTGTGGCCCTGCAACCCCCACCCCCATCCTCACCTTAGCACAGTGAGCCGTGCAGTGCAGGGCACTGTTGTCCGCATCAAAAAGAAGTGTGAACTCGAGGATGCCCAGGGCAGCTAAGGCAGGCAGCGGGCAGGGTCAGTCCTGACCTCAACCCTCCCATGGTACCATGCCTCCTGCCCTGCCCCTCCCAGGTCAAAGGCCTGAGACACCGCAGACCCTAGCCTGGCTGGGCTGGGCCCAGGACGTCTCCCTCGCCCCCTCCCCACACTCACTGCTGTCATCTGAGTCGCCCTCGGGCTCTGGGTTGGGCTGCTGCTGGGGCGCAGTGCAGATAGCGGAGGTCACTGCATGGGGTGGGTCTGGGGCGCGCAGGGTGGGCTCAGCGAAGGGGTAGAAGTGCGGGAAGTAGTTGGAAATGAGGTGGATGGGCCGGATTGGGCCTGGGCTCACGTCTATGGCCATGTGCTCCTGCATGCTCACCCGCTGGGGCCGCCCCCGGCTCTCTGCCGCTGTGCCCGCCATATGGCTCAGACATGAAGGCCTGGACTCAGAGAAGCCCCTGTGGGCTGCAGATGAGGGGGATACACTGAGCCAAGGAGAAAGTGCAAAGAGGCATCCCTGAGGGTGCCAAGGGGATTCTTGGGCAGCAGCCGGGACCTGAGGACAGAGCACAGGGTCAAGGCAGGTAGGGTAAGGGCTCCAGCCCGGAAGGCACCCAGCATGCCCGCAGTCAGGCTGCTTGGCTACTCACCTCTGGAGAGCTCCTCCACCTGGTCTGGCTAGCTGGGTGTGTGCCTGAGAGGAGATGCTGACAGCAAGACTGTGGCCTCGAGGGGGCTGAACTCAAGGGGGAGGAGGAAGGGGCGGGGCTCCTAGGACAGCACCTTCCCATCCTGAACCCCAAGGGTGTCCTTCCCTAGAGTGGGGGCTCAGCCTCCCTCCTCCTCCCTTAGCCCTCCATTCACACATTGTCAGAGAGTTATTTTTACCACTATCACGCGGCCCTGCTCCCCTGTGAGGAGGCTGGAGGGCCAGAGGTGACGCAGGGGTGTGAGGGGCAATGCAAGGGGTGTGGGGAGCAAGGACTAGGTGAGACAGGAGGGGGTGCTGAGGGCAGGAACAGGTAGGGAGGTGGTAGGCAGGGGAAGAGCACGGGTGCTCCAGGAGGGGTGGAGAGGAAGGCAAGATGGGAGGGCCGTGTGGGGAGGGGAGGGGTGCCAGGGAGGAGGGGGGCACCCCCGGGCGAGGAGGACACCTGGGGAGGATGGCGTCTGCAATCGGGGCTCCTTGCAGCCCAAGCTTCTTAAAATATGACTCAGATCACTCTAACACCTCTGCCCCCTCCCAGCTTAGAAAGTCCTACCCCGTCAGAGGCTCCAGCAGTGGTGGGGCCCCTCCCCCCCCGGGGCCCTCCCCCCCATCGCCACACTGCTTTTCTTGGCTTCTTTGAGCATCCGAAGATCTGTGCATGTGCTGCTGCTCCTGCCCAGACTTCCTCCGCAGCCCTCTGACCTGGCCTGTTACTACCTTGGTTCCAGGGTCCCTCTCTGTGGGGAAATCTGCCTGGTTTTCGCCTGCTCAGTCTTCCTTTCTCTCTCCCTGCAGTAGTCCTTTGTGAGCCACCCCTTCCCTGTTCTCTGGGAGTTTCATGCTCCTCCCCAGGCCTGTGCCCCAGATCCTCCCAGTCAGTGAACTCCAAACCCAGCAGGCCACATGACAGGTTCAATAAAGAACAATTCTGGGTTAGGCTGGCTGACAGAGAGAAGCTATGCTCTCTGTAGATGAAACGCTGGTGCCGTAACATCCTAGAGCTGTTGTCCTCTCCTCACCACTCACCCCTGAGAGCAGAGAACACTGAGAGTGAGGCCAACAGAGTGGAAAGCACAGAAACACAGAGCCCCTGGATCCAGCCATACCTGCTAGTGTTTCTCTGGACTTTATAATCACCATTCCTCTTTCAGCAGTCGGCTAGTGGGTGGCATTTTCTCACTTGTCCTAGCTAATACTACTGCCCAGGCCACCATGTCAAGGCTGAAATACCCATCCCAACTCTCTCACAGAACCCTGGTCTACGTAATTGCTAGATAATTCCATGATTACCTGTGATTAAGTAGTGTGCAATCACAGGATTATCTGTGTGACTTGGTCTAAGGTTTTCCCCAACTGAGCCCCCCACCCCTCCTAAGGGCAGGGCAGCATCTGGCTGGTCCGCATCTGTGGCCCCAGCCCAGCACCTGGTGCATGGTGGGAGCTCAGTGTACCGGAGCTTGGCAGGAATGTGCAGGGCTCCTCTCCAGATCCTCGCAGCCCGCACAGCCAGGCACGGAGGAGGAGATGGGGACTCACACAGTGCAGCGGTTAGAGTTTGGAGTCCAGAGTCAGGGCCTGGATTAAATCCCAGCTTGGGGTGACCGTGGGCAGGGTGTCTCCTCCCTGAGCCCATCTCACCAGCCAGGGCCAGCGCTGGCCCTACCCCACAGGGCTGTGGTGTGATGACAGAAATGACATCAAGTTCCTGCACACAGTAAGTGCCCGCTGCTGTGGCACCAGCACGATGCATAACTGACAGAGATGCCCCAGTCAGGAAGCCAGCTGTCCCATGGGGGTCTGTCTGAGGTCAGGGCCCTAGTGGGGAAGATGCCATTGCCACAAAGTTGGTAAAGGCTCTTTATTCAGTCCTGAAGTGGAGCTGGCTGGCAAAACAAAGGCAAGGGCTGCTTAGAGATAGGCTTTCAGCCCCTGGGCAATCCAAGGCTGGCCAGGTGGGGCTGATAGGTGCCAGGTGCCAGCAGCTGCAGGGTGAACTCGGTGATGATAGCTGTGAGCCCCCAGACACGGTGTGGCCCATGCAGGAAGACAGGCAGAGTGTAGCGGAAGTGGCCACCCTGGCAGAAGTGGGTATAGCCTTGGTTCTGTGCCTGCAGCAGATGGGCCAGCGGCAGTGCAAACACCTCATCCACCTATGGGTGGGAGGCAGTGAGAAAGTGAGGGTGGACAGAGCTTGCCACTGCAGCCTTCTCTAGTGGGACAGCCTGGCCCCTAGCACCCCCACTCACCTCCTCAGGGTTGGGCCTCAGGCTCTGGGGATCCAACGGGCCCACGCCAGCAAGCACCGGCACCACAGTGCCCTTTCGCTGGGGCAGGAGGGCAGGCAATCAGGGGAGGCATAGCCTCATGGGGCCTTGGGTCTGTGGAGCACCCCCTACCTTGGGCTCACTCCAGCCATGTGACTGGCTCAGGCCCCCCTCAAAGCACTAGACCCATTCAGGTCTCTGGGCTGTTACTGTTTCCTCCACTTAGAACAACTTTTCCTTACCCTAAAACTGCCCGTTTAATTCCCTACTACCCTGTGAGGCCTTCCTCAACCCTTGTGCACCAAGCGGAGCAGAGCTGGTTCACCCCGGGGCCGCCCCCACCTCAGGACCTAAGGCTCAGTACACCCCATGAGAGAGGGGTTGGAACACCACTCACTGCCAGGCCAGTGTCTGGTGCTCCCCTGCCTGCACTCTATGCCTGCCACAGTCCATGGCCAACAATGTTCCTTGCGGTGAGGGCCGGGCTTACCTGATCCTGCACAGGCCGCAGGACACCCCACACATGCTCCTCAGGCACAGCGAGGCCCAGCTCCTCGCGGGTCTCCCTCAGGGCCGTGTGTACCACATCCTGGTCAGCTGGGTCACATTTACCACCTGGAAAACTGCACAGGCACAGGGAGACTGGGCCTTGATCTGTTGGGGCCATGGAGGAGTGGGGATGGCAACTGTGGCAGAGGTGTCCCTAGTTGGCAGTGAACTTGGGCCTTGGGCCGGTCACATGACCTCTCCAGGCTCAGTTTACCTCCCTGAACAATGGGGATAAGGGAGAGAAGCCCTGGGGCTCAGACACGCAAATTCTGCCAATGGTGACCCAGCGGCGCTGACATTGACCCTCGGGTGTGCCCAATTCCTGCCGGGGGCGGGGCAAGGGCGGGAAGCCAGGCAGCCCCGCCCCCGGGCTTTCTCTGCTCGGGGACCCGAATCTCCCCACAGCGGCCTGCAGGGGGCGGGGTCCTGCCTTTTTTAGAGACGGGGACACAGGTCAGACAGGTGTCCCGGCCCGAGGTGGTACGGAAGGCGCTTCGAACGCGGGCCGCTGAGTCCCCGCCGCAGACCGTGGCCGCGGGTTCTCCCCAGACCCATTCTAGAGGTGGAGAGCTCGGCGGGCTAGGCGCCCTGGCCATTCCCCGTGGTGTCCGGGGCTCGGCGGCCTCCTAGAGGGACCGGAGTTTCCGGCCGGTGTACCTGACTTCACCCTTGTGCCTCCCGACCAGGCGGCTGGACCGCAGCGTGTAGAGCAGCGCCGGGACCCCGCGCACCGAGCACAGCGGCACCAGAACCGCGGCCGCAGCGGGCCGCGCGCGGAGCCGGGCCGTGGCTCCCGCCAGCAGCCGCCGGCAGCGCCGCTCGCCCTCCGCGGACAGGCAGTCGGGCAGCATGTCCGGCCAGGCGCGGCGGGGTCACCGAGGGCGCTGGGGACACCGAGGGCGCCGGGCAGCGCTAGGGAAGGGGCGGGCCAGCGCTCGCTCTCGCGGACCTCCAGGGCAGCCGGGCGGGCTCGCGGGAGGGAGCGGTCCCGAGCGCGGCGCCCCGCCCGCCCGGCTCCGAGGCCGCGACGGCGGCGCCCGTGTGGGCGGGGCTCGGCCTCCGGGCGGGGCTTGGGGGCGGGGCTCCTCGTGAAGAGGTGGTGCGCAGGGAAGGAAGAGGCGTGGTCGGATGCGCCGGGCTTCCGGCGGGGAGGACGGAGCAGGGCCGGGCGGGGCGAGCGTGAGAGGCCGGCGGTTGTCCCCGAGCGCCCGGTGGGGCTCCCGTGGCGCACGACCCGGAGCCTGGACTCGGCCCTTCTGAGCACGGGGGTCAGGGTGTCTGGCTGTTGAGGCCCCGTTGGGCCTCTTGTCCTTCCGCGCTGGCGTGTGTCGGACCTTCGGAGTCGGCATTTAGGGATCCACTGGGCTCCCCCCTGGGAGGCGGACGACCACCGTTCCGGGAGGAGTGCCTAGTCCCGCCCTTCCTCTGGGCCCTCTCCTGTTTTCGCTCCAAGCAACACCCCGGCTATTGTCCTGCATTTCCCTTTTCCGGGAGCTGGTCTCCTTCCTCCCGTCCCCCATCCCCGCGATTTCTACTCCTTCAGGTGTTGGTTTAAGGGTCACTTTCTCTAGAATCTCCTGCTTGAGTACTGATGGTATTCGCAGACCCTTCCCCCCCACCTGTCCCGTGTGGTCACTGTCTATGGTGGTGCTGCACCCCTCCGCCAGAGCCTGGCCCCTGAAGGACTAGAGGACCCCAGCCCTGCACACAGCGCCTCAACACGGAGTGGCATGTTGTCGCCATGCTTTGCTTTGAGCAGGCGCCTTTCAGATGCAGTTTCAGCCCTCAACTGGACACACAAGGCAGGGGGCAGGAACCCCAGCCTCCCACACAGCCCTGCCTAAGGCTCGTCACCACCTTTCCCAGCACGCTGTGCTCTCAAGAATACCAACAGTACTGGGCAGAACTTTGGGGTGTTTGCAGCCCAGACTTAGGGGTCTGGGTGTTCTGAGACCCTCCACCCAATCCCCAAGGACAGAAGTGCTCTGACCACCAAATGTTTTAATGTTGAGGGGAAGGGAGAGAGAAAGCAGGATGTGGAGGGGTCATCCCCAAGGCAGAAGGGGGCACGCTGTGGGTTAGGGGGCCTGGTTCCAAGCCTGGCACTGCCCCAGCCTTGCTGTGACCCTGGGCAGGTAGCCTCCCTCTCTGGGTTTCCACCTGCCCTGCTCCCCTTGAGAAGGGTGGGAGGCGTCTGCAAAGGTGAGGCTGGAGGGGGTGGGGTCCAGGGTAAGAGGAGGACTCTACACAGGGCCCCTGCAGTCACTGAGGGTCCTGAACACGCCTCAGGCATATGGTCGTGGGGGACAGGAGCCCCAGCCTAGCTGGGAGGGGCAGGTCCCCCTGATCCCTGTCAGCCTGGATATTGGGAAGGGGGTATGGTGTTGGTCGGGCCCTTGGGATTCGAAGGGAACTTGAGGTTCCGGGATACAGGCCCTGGTAGGTGGTCTGGCCCAACAGAGCCTCAGGAGGAGCCAGCAGCTGATGGTGGAGCTGGGCAGGGGTCCTGGAGGTGGAGGCTTGAGTTTTGTTGGGGTCTGAAGGAGGACGTGCGGTCTGAGTGGACCCCGCAGCCCCTCTCACATCTTCAGCCCACCTGTCCCCTTCCCTGCCCCTTCCATCCCACGCTGCCCACTTCTAGCCTTTGATCTTGCTCTTCCCTCTGCTGGGAATTTCTTCCCCACCTTCTCCCTCTGCCCTTCCCAGTCCTCCAAGGCCCAGCTTGGGAACCACCTTCAGGAAGCCCACTGGACGTCCTCCACCCCAGCTTCAGGCTCTGCTCCCTCAGCCCTGGGTTGCAAATTGCCTCAGAAACCTCTGCCTCCCCTTCTCTGTCCACACAGGCGCCCAGTAGGCTTGGTGGGCATGCCGAAGCCCCTCGTGGAGGCCCTGTGGCCTCGATTCGCTCCTACCCTGCAGGCTCTGGTCCTGCTGTGTCTGTAGGCCCAAGAGCTAACCTTCCGCCTGCTCTGTGGATCCCTTTCGCTGGCAGGGGCCGAGGCTGCTATGACTCCGGGCAGGGACGCTGAGCAGGGGCCGTGGAGACACAGTGCTGAATGGGGGGGCAAGGAGGAATGGGGGCAGGGGTCAAGGTGGAGATCCCGGGCCAAGGGCCATGGAAAGGCCATGACCCCAAGAGAAGGGTCAGGGGCTGTGCCTTAGGAGATGCGTGGGGATTGGGGACAGGGACCAGATCGGGGCAGCCGGGCACTACTGTCAGGATCAGACAGTACCAGGAGTCTGGGTCACTCTCCCGAAAGCCTTTGGCAAAGGGGTTGCTGGCGATTTTCAACTGGGTGATCTGCAGAGGAGAAAGTGCAGTTATGGGCCAGCCCTGAGCCAGGGAGGACTGTGGGGCCCCAGGCTCAGCCATCCTGTCCTCTCCAGACCCCGAATGAGGAGGCCCTGGGGCTCGGGCCCCTCAGCCCACACCCGCAAAGCCAGAGGTTGGGACAGCAGGGGAATAATGGGGTAGATGCCCACAGAGTCCCAGGGAAGCAGAGGAGGGCAGGGCTCCGTGTGCACGTGGGGACTCAGGGCCTCGGGCCTCGGTCTCCATCCCTGTGAAATGGGCTGGCAGCTGCCTCACAAGCTGTGGCCCCACCCACCCGGTGGTTCTGATACGCAGTCACGGCCGTGAACTGGGTCTCAGTAAAAATGAAGGACTTGAAGTTCTCCTGGGCGTAACGCTCACTGTCCTTGCGTGGGTCCACGAAGACCACATGGAATCGGGGCTGGTAGCGGTGCATGGAGTTGAGAATGATCTGGGGGCAGTGTGGAAAGGGTGTGCAGGGGCCGCACTGGCAGCAAGGCCTCCCCGAGCTGAAGCCCTTCTCCCTGGGACAGCGGCCCTGGCTCTGCCGCCTCTTCTCGTAACGGTGGCGCAGGGTCTGAACGTGACAGCCTGCAGTTCTGTGCCAAAGGCCCTTTGCGGCTTGGGCCTCCTTGCTGCTCCGCCTCTCACCCGCACATCCCAGCTGCCCGCTTCACCTTCGGGACTCCCCGGAATCTGACCGCCTCTCCCCCGCCCATTCGGCCTCCTCCCTCCACTTCAGCCTCCTGCAGTTCCTGCCTCCTCCCCCCCAGGGCCTTGGCACTAGCTATTCCCTCCACCTGCACAAGCTCCTCCTCCACCTCCTTCACACAGCTTCCCATGTGTCTCAGCAGCTCCCTGAGCCCCCCACCCCCGCCCCCGTCAGCAGAACAGCTCCCTCCATCTCAGACCCCATCTGGGTTCCTTTCTCACCATTAGGGAAAGGCATTCATCACCACCTGAGCCCCTGCACAGTGTCTTCTGGGTTCTTTGCTTACCAACTGCCCTAATCCCAGGCGGTGAGCCTGCTGAGGGCAGGATCTTTGTGCGTTGGACAAAGGGTTAACAATTCTGTGTCCCTGCACCTACCACACCCAGCCTGTGGGGGGGTGTTCAGTAAACACACCCCAGCCCACTTCCTGAGCAGTCGCCTCTGCTGTCCAACCCCCAGCCAGCTGAACTGGGCCCCCAGCCTTGCCATCAGCAGCGGGCACCAAGACCACTGGGCACCAAAGGCACTGCCAGCCCCACTTTCAGGCTTCATCAAAATTGGGCCCCAGTGTCCCCTGCCCTGGCCCAACGCTCTCCCCACTGTGGCCCAGGCCTCACGTGGCCGTTGTCATCCAGCAGGTTGTTGGTCAGCTTGAGCTTGTCGAAGGACACAATCTGGCGCATCCACTGTGCACCCTTGGCTGGCGAGTCAGGGTGGAAGTGCACGCGGCCAGGAGTGGCTGGGTCTGCCTTGCCCGCCACCAGCCAAGCGGAGCTGTGGAAGGCGTACCTGGGGAGCAGAGCGAGGTAGCAAGGGCGCCCTGTCTGCACCCCACAGCACCTCATCTGCTGCCCCCACTTGGGCCACTTCTGTCTCCACTACTGCTCACGCACCATCCCTGTCTTGCACGGGGATCCGGAGGCTCCAGGAACTCCGCCCACCCCTGAGCGCCTGTGGCTCCCCCTGCTGCTCTGGGCTAGCCCACTGCTCTCTTCAGACCACCGGCTGTGCTGAGCTGGGCTCCCTCCCCGCACCACGAGGCTTCCCCGGCCGCCCCAGGGCAGGCCTCCCTGCCTCTGCTTCCCCTGCCAGCTCCCAGACCTGTATCTCTTGTCATCCAGCGGCAGGAAGTCCACCAGCAGGGCATAGTCAGCCAGCGCGTCCATGCCCAGGATCGTCACCTGGAAGGCGGGGAACATCCGCCTGCGGGGCCATGTGTTCAGCTGCCTGAGCGCTGCTCCAGCCCGGCCCCGCCCCTGCCACATGCACCCCCGCTGCGCACACCTGCCTGCCTTGGTGACAATCATCTCTGTGCCCAGCTGGTTGAATTCCTCCCACAGTGCCTTCATCTCCAGCTGAACCGTCACGTTGGACACACATGGGTTCTTGGGTCCCTGCCCAGTGTGCTTGGCCTCAGCTTGGGCCCCTGTGGAGCCAGGGAAGGGGCCTGATGGGAACAGGGAGTCCGGGTGGGGCTCCCAGCTAGAGCTGGCTGTGGGCAGGGTGTAGGTCTCCGAGGGTGCAAGGACCCCAAGGCCAGCGGAGAGAAAGGCTGGGGAGAGAGGATGGAAGTATAGGTCTCAGCTCGCCTCACTCACCTCCACAGCACCCAGTCAGCCCTCATCCTTCAGGCTGTACCCAGGTGTCTCTTCCTCCAGGAAGCCCTCCCTGACTGCCAGGCTTGTGTTCCCACAGTACCTCTGACTCAGCATCACTTCATGAGGTAGACGATCACTTAAAGCTCCTGGAGGCCAGAGACAGAGTATCAGGCTCCCCAGGGAATCTTGGAGCCATCAGGTGGCCAGGTGGCCTGGAGTAAGTTGTCTCACTTCCCAGAACTTCAGTTTCCACATCTGCCACAAGGGGTTCTTACCTGCCTCATAGGGCCAGCATGAGGATTTGTGAGGACACATGTGGGCCTGGCATCCAGTGGGCCCTTCATAAATGGCAGCGGCTGTGGGTGCTGGGACGGGAGAGGCCGTGGGGGCTGGAGTGGCCGGCAGTCTCAGCTCCATGGAGACTGCACTGCGTGGAGCTGACTAAGGAGCTGAGAGGCGGTCCCCAGATTATCACGGATGACCCCTAACCCATCTCTGACCTTGAGAACATGCCCAATCCTGCCTCCAGGAACCTGTCCCAACATCTTTCTGCTCTGGCCCCCTCACTTTGTCCTGAAGACCCCATCCTTGGGTCTGCGGGCTTGCACACGCCTGGACCAAAAGCTGTGCCACCTTTAGCCCTTAGATTAGAAAGCGGTCCTAACCCAGTGACATACCGCTTTACACCGGTGAGGACGGCTACTGCTCAAGACAGAACAATGACAACACAAAGCAGGAAATGACAAGTGAGACAGCTGGGGCACTGCTGGGGGAACGTAGGATGGTGCGGCCGCTGTGGAAAACAGCACGATGGGTGTCCTCAGAAAGTGAAAGATAGAATTACCATGTGGCCCAGCAATTCCACTTCTAGGAATATGCCCAAAAGACTCGTGAGCAGGGAGCAGAGCAGATGTGTGTGCATCAGTGTTCACAGCAGCACTGCTCACAATATCCAAAAAGCGGAAGCAACCCACGTGTCCACCAATAGGGGACTGGGCGAGCAGTCCGTCCAGACAATGGAACCCGACCTCCCTACACAAAGGAGGAAATCCTGACGCTCCTGACGCACACTCCAACACGGATGGGCCTTGAGGACATGATGCTCAGAGAAGTAAGCCAGCCACAAAAGGACAGATCCTGCGTCATTCTATTCCTAAGAGGTCCCTAGAGCAAAGTCATAGACAGAAGGTAGGATGGCGGGCACCAAGGGCTGGGGGCACAGGGGATGGGGCCTTAGTGTTTAATGGAGACAGAGATTCAGTTTTGCAAGATGCAAATGTCCTGGACATGGGTGGTGGGGATGGTTGCACAACAAGGTGCATCTACTTGATGCCACTGAGCTGTACACTTAATGATGGTTAAAATGGTGACTTTTACGTTATGTATATTTTACCACAATTAAAATTTTTAAATAGAAAAAAACCCTGGAAAAACAGACTATTTGTTTTTAGCAGCGAGGGCCTGGTAGAACCACAGATTCCCTGGGCAGAGGTGGAACGTTGGTGTTGGGTGGATGGATGGACAGACAGATGGGTGGAGGGAGTTTCCTGCAGTGGTATATCTAACAAGTAACGTTGTGATGAGCTAACAGGTGGCCAGCGCCTGGCCAGAGCTGGCACATCGTAGGTACCTAGTGGGCATGTGGGGCCCCATCCCTAGCAAGCCTGAGAGCCACGTGTGAGAAGCAGCACCCCGCTGAAGCCCCTGGGAGCTCTGCAGTATGGGGGTGAGTGGGCATCTCTGAGACGGATGGGCCACATCCAGTCTGCATCCCCTGAGGGGCAGGAAGGGTGGATGGACCCGGCCAACAGACAGGTGACTACCTGTCACTTGGTTGCCCTGCTGGGGGCAGGTCCGTCATCCAGGTGACTGAAGCCAGCTCCCAGGGTCCATGATAATGGGCTCCCGGTGGAGAGGTTCATGGATTTGCTGGGCCTGGGGGCTTCGCAGCCTGGTCTCTGGCTCCCAGGTCTCCCACAAGCCCCCCACCACCCATCCCAGTCACTGTACTGCCCTCAGCAGTCTCAGAAATTCCGGGGAGGGCCCTGCCCCTGCCCCCTGCCCGCTTCCTCTAACAGCCAGCAGCCCCTCACCTCTTGGAGTCAGTTGACAATTTCCCACAGGCAGGGAGTCAGGTCTGGAGGGGAATTTAGAGGCTTCTTGTCCAGCCCTCCACCTTGGCAGTCAAGGGGTGAGGCCCAGAGAGGGGGGGAGACATGCCCAAGGCCACCCACCCACACCCGGTAGGGCTCTCACCTCTCAGAACTGGCTTTGTCCCCTTGTCTGTCTGCACCCCCATTCTGGCACTTGGGTGGCTGTGAGTCCGTCAGCCCTGCCCTGGCAGGATCTGAGGCCCCAGCCTGGGGTGGCCCTGCCCCACCCTCTTGCCCAAGGCCTAGGTCCAGTGGCGTTTCCATGGTCCCTACACCCAGTCCCTGCTGTACCCCGCTTGCCCTGGAACCTGAGCCCACCCGTGGGGCTGCCTCAACTGCCTGAACCGTACCTGCCATGGGGATGGCCCGACGTCCAGCTCCCACAGAAGCCCTGCTCAGCTGGGGCCAGGCTGTGGCTGCCCCCAAGGGCCCTTGCCTGCCAGGAGGGTGGTCAGCCGCCCAGGTCTCCTGGTCCACCAGCAGCTCAGCTCAGCTCTCAGGTGCTCACTCAGCCCCTTCTCCTGGCAGGACTGTCCTTTCCTCCTTGATTGCCCAGGTCTCGGCTCTACCCAAACCAGGATCCTGGTCTCTGCAGATGGGGCTCACAGGGCTCCTTCTCCAAGCCACCCTCAGATTGGACTGCGCAAGGCCACTGGCTGGGCCTGTCCAGCTCCAGGCATGGTGCTGTGTGGGAGGAGGGCAGGTGGGAGGCTCTGACGTTGCACAGCCTCCTCTCCCCCTCCCAGTCCCCCGCGCAGCAGCCTCCCGTCCTCGGCCAGGAGCCCCTCAGCCATTCCCGATCAATGGGCCTGTGTGCAGGGCGGGGGCCATCTAGAGCAGGGGCTGGGGGCCAACAGGGCTTTGGGGAGATCAGGGAGGCCGCAGTAGTGGCAGGACGGGCAGGGCTGAAGGGCAGCTGTGGTGCCCTCTCACCAGGCCCCAGACCCCTGACCTGGGGCTGCTGGTGTGGAATTATCCAGGTGGCCTGAGCAAGGAGGCAGCTTCAGCAAGGGGGGCAGAGGCGGGGCGCCTGGACTGGGTGGCAGGAAGCCAGATCATCCTGGTGGCTCGACCCAATGAGCTGTGCAGCACTGGCATGTCCCTGGCAGACCTCCTGCCTCAGTTTCCCCAACTGAACTAAGTGCAGCATCTCTTCTGCCTGGGGTGGGCTGGCCCAGCCCGGGGAGAAGTAAGCTGTCCCCACCCTGGTTGACGGTGTCTACATGTCGCCACAGGTCAAGGTCTGTGGGGAGGTTCGACGGTCCTGCCCAGCCTGACCGCGCGTCTTCTTCAGGTTGCCCCTGCTGGTCCAGGGCCGAGCATTCAGGGACACAAGCATCACTGGCTAGGAAGGCAGAGAGGGCTGGGATTCCCCAAAGCTTCTGCTTTCCATTGAGGGGCTGTTTGGCCACTTCCGCCCTGCCATATGGCCCGGGGGTGGGTGGGTCATCCAGCTGGACCCCAGGTCAGCCCACCCCAGGAGGAAGCATTCCAGGCTAACCCTAGGCAAGAACACTGCAGGCTGGGCCGGGCATGCTTGACTGGGGTGCCCAAGGCTGGTTAGACGCTCCCCCCCACACCTACTCCAGCGTCTGGCACTGGGGATGTGGGGTTGGCAGAGACGCATACCTAAGAGGGGACATGGAGAGGTCAAGGGCCAAGGGCCAAGACTAACTCAAGGCCCAAAGACCTGCCACCTCTCGTGCACAGGTGCACAAGCTCCCATGTGCCTGATTACTCACATGCTCTCTTACACACACACGTACACACACACCATGCAGACAGCATGTCTCCCTGCACAGCCTCCTCCCCTGCTGGCTTGGCCCTCCTGCCGGAGGCGCCTCCTGGCCTCCTGCCCCCTCATCCATCTTGCCTGCCAGCCCGTCCCTGGTGTCCCTACATCCTTCACACCTTCTCATCTTGCTGCTCAATAGCAGGAGGCGGCGTGGCAGCCATGGCCGCGGGGAGATGGATGGGCCAGGCAGGGGTTAGGAGGGGCCAGGGATAACGCCACCAGAGGACGGGTGCTGGTGGGAACTGTGCCCTGCCAGGCTCAGGGGGGGCGGAAAGTGTGAGGCCGTGCCCAGGCCCCACCCCACCCTGTCCAATTTGGCCCTGCGAGGACATGCTGCAGAGTGTCTGGGTCAGGGCTGTGTCCCTGCACCCAAGCGGCTGTCCTGGGTGGCAGAAGCCTTGCCAAGCTGCACCTCCTCCGTAGTCCTGACTCCTCCTGAGTCCTGGGGGCACTGGGCTCATTACACACCTGGAAAGCACATCTGGGCTGTTCACCCAGCCACATGTGTGTCTCCCCAGAATGCCCAAGGTTACCTAGGCTCTTGGAAATGTGTGTACATGGACGCATGCACATACAGCACCTGAGGCTGGCACATGCAGGGACACCCACACACGCGTGCTCATACATTTCTTCCAGACCGACTCACAGGCCCTGGGAGTGTAGGCTGGTTGGGGCCCCCTCTGGGAAGTGGCCTCCTCCAGGACCCCTCTGCTGACCCCAGGATAGTCATTCTCCAAGTTCCCCCCACGCCATAGGATCTTCCCCTGGGCACCGACAGACAAGTGTGGGCCCAGAGACAGCCACCACTGGCCCTAGGACACAGAGTATGTTCAAGACCACCCTGGGCCAGACCTGCCCCAGACCCTGAGGTCATGGAGAGGGGCCGTGCGGGATGGAAGACACAAACCGCGGACCCCCTGGGCATCTTCTATTTTATAGAATGGGAGACTGAGGCATGGAGGTGCAGGGGTGTGGCAAAACATCTGATACACAGCAGGGTGGAAGGGGGACCCCAGGCTGGAGATTGTGCCTCAGAACCTGAGGGCTGAGGCCAGACAGGTGTGGCCTGGGTTAGGGTTCCGGGGTGGGGGCAGGGCCAGCTTGGGCAGGGTGGGCACAGAGAATGTGCACCTCTTAGTCTGGAGGAAGGTGATGCCCGTGTTGTAGTAGGTGGCCTCGTTGATGAGTGCAGGGAGCAGAGGACTCCCCAGGGGAGCATGTCCTCACCACTGAGCATCTGGAAGGTGGGTGCACCAGGCTGCAGCAGCTCGAAGTCTTGGCCCTGGGAAGAGAGCCACAGGCCAGAGTTGCTAGGGCCAACCTCTGCCCCAGTGGGAGCAAGCCCAGCAGGGGCTGCCCAAGAGATTCCCCTCACAGTCTCACCCATCACTCCTTCATTCCTCAATTAATGAGACAGGGTGTCTGCTCATATGCCAAATGCCTCTATGTCGAGAAATGGAGACACCAGTCACCTTAGAAAGGCATTTGTCATTGTGGAAGTAGCATAATGGTATGGGCACAGATAGTAAAGCCTGGGCTCAAATCCTCCTTAGCTGTGTGACCTTGACCAAGTCACTTAACCTCTCTGTTCCATAACTGCTTTGTCTGTAAAATAGGAATTATAATAGCTCTTCCTATCATTCTGAGGTTTAAACGGCTAATAATGCTTAAAACAGTGTATGTCCCATAGCAAATACAATATAAACATTTATTTTATTTTTTTTAATTGTGGGAAAAATCACCCAAAATGACTGTTTTTCCTTAGCATCTGCAAGGAAGATGGGCCTGTAGCCCTAAACACTGAAAGGAGGGTGATGCCCCCACCATACAGTGTTGTCACAAGTGAGAGAACACCTGAAAACATGGAGCCGCAACGAAAGAAAGCAAGAAAATCCAACCGAATTCTGCTTTACCTACAATTTTACCTTGGTCTCTAAAAATCTTTTGAAATATCAAACTTACAACATTTCTCTCTCTTTTGTGCCCACGATCTTCTGTGCCCACAGAGCGTGCCAGGCTTGTCTTCTGGGTCACTCCCGTGGCTGGGGGTCCACTCGCTTGCCTTGGGAGCTGGGCCATGGCTGCCCCTCTTGGGTGGGCAGGGTGGACGGAGGAAGGTGAAACCTATCCTTGCAGAGGTCAGCATTACTGGTCACCTGTGACACTGGACGGGGATCTCCGCCTGAGTTCTACCAGCAGCAGATGACCCTTCCAGCCAGCCCTCAAGGACTCACCATGGAGGAGGGGCCCCGGCTGGTCACTGGGCTCAGGACTGAGCTTTATGGCGAGTGGGGAGGCCAGTGCCAACGGAGCAGGTGGCCCTCTCTGAAGCCCCTCGCACCTCTGAAGGCTATTTGGGGGGCTTGGAGAACAGTTACTGAGGAAGCTAAGGCTAGCGTGCTCAGCCTGGGGGCCCCGGCTGCACTGCAGACAGGTCGCAGAGGCCAGGAGGACATGGACCTCGTTCAACAGCGCCTCCATGTGGCAGCATGCAGAGCAGCAGCTAGTGGGAGGCCCAGGGGTCCCAACCTCCTCTCTGCTGGGCAGCAGGATTGCCCCATTCCTATGGCGATCAGGAACTGGCAGCCTGCACAGGGAGATGCTGGACCCTCTGTTAATGTGCATAGGGGTGCTCAAGGAATTAACTGGCAAATAAAGGGGGGGTTCCATGTTTGCACCGCCAAGCAGGTGAATTGGGTCATGCCCCCTCCCCCCCTCTGCCTTTTGCCCAGGCTGTGGAGAAGCCCACTCCCGCCCTCCACGGGCACAGTGAGGATCACTGGCCCCCAGTGCCAAGCCTGCATGTAGGGTTCTGGGGGAGAGGAAGGCAACAGGGGTAGGACACGGGGGGCACAGCCTCCTGCTCTGCTCCTGATTCTGAGGTGCATCTGTGGACCATCCCACTGGGTGTCAGTTTCCCCTGGTATAAGGCCTTGACTCAGGAATATCCCTGCAGCTGCGGATGCCCAGTTCCCACCAGGTGCCTGGCCTCCACGCATGGGAAGTCTGTACCACCCAAGGTTCTAGATGCTTCCATCTCAAAGGCAGGAAAGGCCGGGCCTGAGCAGGAGGCTGGGGGTGGGAGCCCATCCCTCCCTCAAGGCCCAGGACAGAGTGGACCTCATGGACTCAGGGCCAGTCCTCAGCCTGCCTGGGAGCCCGGCTCCTTGGCTCCTGGGCCAGGCCTTTGCCTCGCAGGCCTGGTTCCTGACAAGTCCCGCCGGGCCTCACCCTGGACAGGGAACTCAGTGAAGTCCTGCTACAGGGGGAATACGGCCCCAGCGGGACACAGAGCAGGCTCCACAGCTGCAGGCGGTCCCACAGCCCACCTGTCAGCCCCACCTCTTCTGTCCCAAGGTTGTCTTTTTTGGTGTGTGGGACAAGGACCTCAGGGAGCTGGCAACTATGACTTACTCTCCCTTTCACTGCCTCTGTCAGTAACCTTAAATCCGAAAGCGGCTTGTGTCTTGATCAGCCACATCAGACAGGCCTTGACCTTGGCCTGTCCTTGTCTTGTGTGTGAGCTTAACATGCTGCTCCCTTAACTATACAAATACTTCCTTGATGCCCCAATCCACTCCTTTCCAGATGAGGCCTTAGCCACCCTTGTTCATGCCACCGAGAGCCCCTGAACTACTCAGGAGAGCTGCCAACTGCTCACGGGATTTTGGTGAAGAAATTGCCTGCTTCAGCACCCCGATATACTCCCTTAGAAACGCTGCTGGCTACATGTCGGGGGGACTGAGCTCGCCAGTTTGACCTGATGACCCTTTGGACAGTCACCCATTGCATCTTGGGTCACGGAGGCTGCATCCTGTGGGCTCAGCTCCGCTGCAGAAAGCTCCTTGCCTCGGTAAGGGTGACATCTTTCAGATAAAGTCAGGCCTGGGTCATCTGGCGCATTCCTTGTGCCAGAAGCAGCAGCTTCCCCTTGTCCTCAGATCCCTGCCCAACACTATGATGCCAGGAGAGGCCACCCCTCTCCCAGAGTCACTGACCACTTAGGGGTCCCCAGAACAAGTGAGTAAAGAAGAAAGGCGCTTCATGCACTCTGAAGCTCCCGCTATGGGACCCACTGGGGAGCAGCTGTCCCATTCCCTTGTGGGGCCCTCCCCAATCGGACATGGGACCCAAGCGCCAGCTCAGTTGACTGAAGTGTGGGCTAACCTTAGCATCAGAGCACACCCTGATCAACCAGCCGCCTCATCTGGGCTTTTCCTGACTTCTGGGCTGTCCTCATGCATTGGCCATCTATGAAAACACTGCAGGGACACCCACACACGCGTGCTCATACATTTCTTCCAGACCGACTCACAGGCCCTGGGAGTGTAGGCTGGTTGGGGCCCCCTCTGGGAAGTGGCCTCCTCCAGGACCCCTCTGCTGACCCCAGGATAGTCATTCTCCAAGTTCCCCCCACGCCATAGGATCTTCCCATGGGCACCGACAGACAAGTGTGGGCCCAGAGACAGCCACCACTGGCCCTAGGACACAGAGTATGTTCAAGACCACCCTGGGCCAGACCTGCCCCAGACCCTGAGGTCATGGAGAGGGGCCGTGCGGGATGGAAGACACAAACCGCGGACCCCCTGGGCATCTTCTATTTTATAGAATGGGAGACTGAGGCATGGAGGTGCAGGGGTGTGGCAAAACATCTGATACACAGCAGGGTGGAAGGGGGACCCCAGGCTGGAGATTGTGCCTCAGAACCTGAGGGCTGAGGCCAGACAGGTGTGGCCTGGGTTAGGGTTCCGGGGTGGGGGCAGGGCCAGCTTGGGCAGGGTGGGCACAGAGAATGTGCACCTCTTAGTCTGGAGGAAGGTGATGCCCGTGTTGTAGTAGGTGGCCTCGTTGATGAGTGCAGGGAGCAGAGGACTCCCCAGGGGAGCATGTCCTCACTACTGAGCATCTGGAAGGTGGGTGCACCAGGCTGCAGCAGCTCGAAGTCTTGGCCCTGGGAAGAGAGCCACAGGCCAGAGTTGCTAGGGCCAACCTCTGCCCCAGTGGGAGCAAGCCCAGCAGGGGCTGCCCAAGAGATGCCCCTCACAGTCTCACCCATCACTCCTTCATTCCTCAATTAATGAGACAGGGTGTCTGCTCATATGCCAAATGCCTCTATGTCGAGAAATGGAGACACCAGTCACCTTAGAAAGGCATTTGTCATTGTGGAAGTAGCATAATGGTATGGGCACAGATAGTAAAGCCTGGGCTCAAATCCTCCTTAGCTGTGTGACCTTGACCAAGTCACTTAACCTCTCTGTTCCATAACTGCTTTGTCTGTAAAATAGGAATTATAATAGCTCTTCCTATCATTCTGAGGTTTAAACGGCTAATAATGCTTAAAACAGTGTATGTCCCATAGCAAATACAATATAAACATTTATTTTATTTTTTTTAATTGTGGGAAAAATCACCCAAAATGACTGTTTTTCCTTAGCATCTGCAAGGAAGATGGGCCTGTAGCCCTAAACACTGAAAGGAGGGTGATGCCCCCACCATACAGTGTTGTCACAAGTGAGAGAACACCTGAAAACATGGAGCCGCAACGAAAGAAAGCAAGAAAATCCAACCGAATTCTGCTTTACCTACAATTTTACCTTGGTCTCTAAAAATCTTTTGAAATATCAAACTTACAACATTTCTCTCTCTTTTGTGCCCACGATCTTCTGTGCCCACAGAGCGTGCCAGGCTTGTCTTCTGGGTCACTCCCGTGGCTGGGGGTCCACTCGCTTGCCTTGGGAGCTGGGCCATGGCTGCCCCTCTTGGGTGGGCAGGGTGGACGGAGGAAGGTGAAACCTATCCTTGCAGAGGTCAGCATTACTGGTCACCTGTGACACTGGACGGGGATCTCCGCCTGAGTTCTACCAGCAGCAGATGACCCTTCCAGCCAGCCCTCAAGGACTCACCATGGAGGAGGGGCCCCGGCTGGTCACTGGGCTCAGGACTGAGCTTTATGGCGAGTGGGGAGGCCAGTGCCAACGGAGCAGGTGGCCCTCTCTGAAGCCCCTCGCACCTCTGAAGGCTATTTGGGGGGCTTGGAGAACAGTTACTGAGGAAGCTAAGGCTAGCGTGCTCAGCCTGGGGGCCCCGGCTGCACTGCAGACAGGTCGCAGAGGCCAGGAGGACATGGACCTCGTTCAACAGCGCCTCCATGTGGCAGCATGCAGAGCAGCAGCTAGTGGGAGGCCCAGGGGTCCCAACCTCCTCTCTGCTGGGCAGCAGGATTGCCCCATTCCTATGGCGATCAGGAACTGGCAGCCTGCACAGGGAGATGCTGGACCCTCTGTTAATGTGCATAGGGGTGCTCAAGGAATTAACTGGCAAATAAAGGGGGGGTTCCATGTTTGCACCGCCAAGCAGGTGAATTGGGTCATGCCCCCTCCCCCCCTCTGCCTTTTGCCCAGGCTGTGGAGAAGCCCACTCCCGCCCTCCACGGGCACAGTGAGGATCACTGGCCCCCAGTGCCAAGCCTGCATGTAGGGTTCTGGGGGAGAGGAAGGCAACAGGGGTAGGACACGGGGGGCACAGCCTCCTGCTCTGCTCCTGATTCTGAGGTGCATCTGTGGACCATCCCACTGGGTGTCAGTTTCCCCTGGTATAAGGCCTTGACTCAGGAATATCCCTGCAGCTGCGGATGCCCAGTTCCCACCAGGTGCCTGGCCTCCACGCATGGGAAGTCTGTACCACCCAAGGTTCTAGATGCTTCCATCTCAAAGGCAGGAAAGGCCGGGCCTGAGCAGGAGGCTGGGGGTGGGAGCCCATCCCTCCCTCAAGGCCCAGGACAGAGTGGACCTCATGGACTCAGGGCCAGTCCTCAGCCTGCCTGGGAGCCCGGCTCCTTGGCTCCTGGGCCAGGCCTTTGCCTCGCAGGCCTGGTTCCTGACAAGTCCCGCCGGGCCTCACCCTGGACAGGGAACTCAGTGAAGTCCTGCTACAGGGGGAATACGGCCCCAGCGGGACACAGAGCAGGCTCCACAGCTGCAGGCGGTCCCACAGCCCACCTGTCAGCCCCACCTCTTCTGTCCCAAGGTTGTCTTTTTTGGTGTGTGGGACAAGGACCTCAGGGAGCTGGCAACTATGACTTACTCTCCCTTTCACTGCCTCTGTCAGTAACCTTAAATCCGAAAGCGGCTTGTGTCTTGATCAGCCACATCAGACAGGCCTTGACCTTGGCCTGTCCTTGTCTTGTGTGTGAGCTTAACATGCTGCTCCCTTAACTATACAAATACTTCCTTGATGCCCCAATCCACTCCTTTCCAGATGAGGCCTTAGCCACCCTTGTTCATGCCACCGAGAGCCCCTGAACTACTCAGGAGAGCTGCCAACTGCTCACGGGATTTTGGTGAAGAAATTGCCTGCTTCAGCACCCCGATATACTCCCTTAGAAACGCTGCTGGCTACATGTCGGGGGGACTGAGCTCGCCAGTTTGACCTGATGACCCTTTGGACAGTCACCCATTGCATCTTGGGTCACGGAGGCTGCATCCTGTGGGCTCAGCTCCGCTGCAGAAAGCTCCTTGCCTCGGTAAGGGTGACATCTTTCAGATAAAGTCAGGCCTGGGTCATCTGGCGCATTCCTTGTGCCAGAAGCAGCAGCTTCCCCTTGTCCTCAGATCCCTGCCCAACACTATGATGCCAGGAGAGGCCACCCCTCTCCCAGAGTCACTGACCACTTAGGGGTCCCCAGAACAAGTGAGTAAAGAAGAAAGGCGCTTCATGCACTCTGAAGCTCCCGCTATGGGACCCACTGGGGAGCAGCTGTCCCATTCCCTTGTGGGGCCCTCCCCAATCGGACATGGGACCCAAGCGCCAGCTCAGTTGACTGAAGTGTGGGCTAACCTTAGCATCAGAGCACACCCTGATCAACCAGCCGCCTCATCTGGGCTTTTCCTGACTTCTGGGCTGTCCTCATGCATTGGCCATCTATGAAAACACAGCTACAATGTGTATCGCCTCATAACACCCTAACATACAACACAACATGACACAACCTGTGCCAGATGCTCCAACCCCAACAACTGTCGTAAGACCTTACCTTCTCACACAATACAAAAGGCTCATCCCTTGAACAAGATCCTCAGGGACATCCCACCGTTGCCGCCTTTCTCCCATCCTGTAAGGGATGAAGATCAGATTGAGGCTGGACAGGAATTCCACTGAGCGTGACCCTCCAATTGTAAATGCCAAGAGGACTCGCTCGACCTTAACTTTTGGTGTCCTGCTGATGCAGATCTACCTAAACTGCAAAATGTACCAAATATGGAAAATGCACAACAATCCTAATGAAAATTTCTCACAGGGCCGTTGACGATTAAAATTGGTGCATTATAAAGCATCTTCCGGTAGCAGATTCTCCCAAGTCCTCCTGAATATGCAGATGTTAAATGAGGCCCCCAAACAGTGTCTATTGCAAGTCAAGGCCTTCCAGGCCCTCGGGTCTTTAAACACATGCCATTGTGCAGGAACTCAGGTGCGCAGGTTCCTGGCTCTTCTTTGAGTACGGCTCGGGCCTAGGACTCTGCCACCCACTGTGGGGTGAAATACTCAATGGGCCATCTTTGGGCCTCATTGCTGTCTAGTATCACTTGATTTATTCACTATTCTGCAGGGTCTACAGCTCCTAGGATCTAAGAGAGTAAGTCAATTCTAACACTTTATAATCTGTTGAAATTCTTCAGTTGACCACCTTTTAAATTTAAAAGAGTCATACTTTTGATTCGCTCAAAGGCAACTGATTGGGAACCTAATCCCAGGGTGAGCTGCCATGTCATTCTGTTGTCCTGCCCACACTCCTGGGAAGGCAGGAGTCTCAGAGGCCCGCTTAACATTCTACTTCATGGCCAGACATACTCTCCTTATTAGAGAACAGTCACTAGGTCCCTCTCACCATCAAGGGGAGGAGATGACACAGAGCTGTGACGTGTCAGGGGCCAGGGACCCCTGGGAGCACTTCAGAAGCTGCCTGCCGCACACGCCTACTCACAGCCTCTTACAGGGAGGAACATGAAGGGGTGTCTAACCCTGCCCTTTCGGGGTCTGTCTTTCACTCACAGTGACTTGTTTCCCGTGCATGCTGTGACTTAGGACTGCGAGCGCACCCTCACAGGGGCCTACCTGAGGGAGCCTGGCCTGCCAGGCTTCCGGGACCCCTCACAGAGGTTTTCCGTGTGTTTTCATCAGGGGCACCACTAAGCCACGACTACTTTTTAATGCTAACTTCTCGACTTTGGAGCTCCTAGGCTGCACGGATGGGGTCACTGCATTGGAGGGCTCCTCACTCACATGAAGCCCGGCCTGAAAACACCCAGCGCTCATGGGAAGCTTCTCCCCCACACCAAGTCCAAATTTCCTTACATCTTTCTGGGCCCACAGGTGGAATTTCTCCTGCCCACCCTTAAAAGTGTTGCTTTTTTATGGTGCCAGCTTTCTGCGTGGTTTTATTACCAGCCTGCTGCCCAGCAAGGGGCCCAGCATCAGTGTGTGGCCGTGGTCTCAGCCACCTGTCCACGCTGTCCTGGGCTCCAGGGCCCTCTTTGGTTTTGGGCCTGGGGGACTTGGCCGACTTTCTTGAGAGCTCAGCTATATGTTTAAAAAGTAGTTTGTGTCCGGCATCTCTACATGTTTTCCAGAAGGAGACTTTTCAGGCCTAACCTGCTATTGAGAACTTAAAGATAGTTAAAATCTTCGACTTAGATTCTTAGAATCATTCAAAAAATCTCTCTGGTGGATTGACAACATCACAGAGCTGTTGGAGCAGTGGTGGCCGTGACACAGTCTGACCTTCCACTCTGGGCTCCAGAGCTCCACCCAGTCACCTTATCCAGAGGTGACAGAGACCAGAAGAGGTGACACCAATGTCAATGTCATAATATGACCAGGCATTTACATCTAATGGCTCAGTTAGCCCTGCCCCTAAAGAGCCAGCCTTCTGATGGGGGACAGAAACTATGTCCCCTCCCAAGTGGCCGCCTTTGTGACTGCTCAATATCAGAGTGTCCAGTATGAAGATGGATGTTAAAAATGACTTTGAACTCACTGCTTGCAGACCTGCTCCCTCCCCCTCTCTAGCCCTGCCTGACGTGTCTGGGGGCCCACACTTTTCCAAATGGCACTTGCCCTGCATTCAGAGGCTTATTATCTGAGTGTCTGATTGCCCAACACTGAAGCCCAACAGCTGCAATTCAGCTGGAATTCTGCCAGGAGGATATGGCCACATGGTTCTCCAGAGAACCCTTCTTCCCTGCCAGGGGGAGAACTGGCCCCTTTCTGCTCTGCTTGTCATTCAAAGTCTGAGTGGGAGGGAGGCAGTTTTCAGCCCCTCACCTGTCTGAGTGCACAAGCCACCTGGGGAGGGCCTGGGGGGAGGCTGAAGCCCTCACTGCCTCCATGACTGCAGGACCCCCGAATCTGCCAAAGACACCTTGGCACCTGGCTTATGCTGGTTTGCGGCAGGCCCGGGGGGGTCCCTTCTCAGGGGTCACTGACCATCGGTTTGATCATCTTCCCTAGAACTGGGCCCAGAAAGGACACAGCCAGTCCTCTGGGCAACTGGGGGCCATGGGGGCCAGGGAGGGACTCACTGTGGGTACCTAGGTTAAGAGCTGACGTTCACTGAGAGGTTTCTCTGGGCAGCCGTGTGTTCATACAGGGGTCCCCAAACTTTCTCCGTCCCTGGCACCCTTAGTCTCTCAGCCACTTTCCACAGGGCTCCTGGGCCAAAAGCAGCACCGAACAGTTCCATTCAGGGATTATTTTAAGTCCAAAGCAGTACGTACTTATGTTCTAATAACTTAGCGGTCATTTAGAAAATAGAATGCACATTAACGGAAAGATAAAATGGTCCTTCTGTTTCACTCTTCAGAAACCACTACTTACGCATCAGCTACACACTCCAGTCAGCTCCTCACACCTGGGAATCGGACTGGACACCCTCGCCTCATGGTGATTTTCACTTATTATCCCCCAAACCACAGGCAACCCAGCTTCTCAGAGATACCGTGTGAAAGGAGGGTGGCGAGATCTGGTGTGGAAACTGAACTGCCTGGAACTGGTTTGCTCGGGGGGACAGACACACAGTGGCGGTTTTAAGCTGTCTTCTGCACCTCTGTGAGGCCTCGGGGACACTGCCCACCGTGCTGAGGGCTCTCACCCCTGCCTTCTCTCCCGGAGAGACACGCTCTGCAGAGAAGGAACCTGGGCCCTTGCCTGAGGCCACAGCGCCTCCGGGGCTCCAGGGGCTGCAGGCCCGGAACGCAGGTGAGGGCGGTGAGGGGCAGAGAGGAGAGGCAGGAGCCGTGGCTGGTGCGTGGGAGAACCCAGGAGACCCAGCGCTGAGGTGGGTGTGGACAAGGGCGTGCGGTATGGGGGGAAGCGGGTGTGCGGTGAGGGATGGTGCTGCCCAGCAGAGGCACGGGTGCACTTAGGGGTCCCATGACCCTCCCGTGGCCCCTGGCTGGCCTCCCCCAGGCGGCCAAAGCTCTTCAGTGAGGGCTCGGTCTCCTCTTCCGCCAGCGGGGGAGGGGCGAGAGAGGGGCGCCCCCCGCCTCCGGGGATCTGAGCCTCTGTGGCCTGAGCCGGACCACCGCTCCCCCAGCCCATACCCGGCGCTATGTGGCCCCGACACAGCTCAGAAGTGGACCCGGCCCCCAAGGAGTTGCTTGGGGAGCTGGGGGCAGGTGCGCCCCACAGACAGGGAAGGGTTAGGGTGAGCCTGGGGGCTGGGATGCTTGGGAGACTACAGGAGGGGCAGGGGAGCCGGGCCTTTGGAGTCGGCATCATTCCCTGGACCCACGGGGGGCTGACAGCCGCGCCACTTTCCTTGAGGTCCCTGCAGGACACCCCAGGCGCTCTGGCTTCGGTCCCGGACTCTGGCGGACCAGGGAGGGGAGGGGCTTCCAGGAGGGAGGGCAGCCCGGTGGGAGGGGCTTAGGGAGCCCCTCCCCCAAGGGAGGGCTCAAGGCCTCCTCACACAGCGGCCCAGTTACCAGCAGTCGGGCAGCTAGGCACACATCTCGGGCACTCTCCGACCCCCGGGGGCCTGAGCCTTGCCAGTCAGGACAGTACAAAATATTTTTATTGCTCATTTTCTATAAAAAGTCGCGCCTCGGGACCGAGGCGCACCCCGGGGTGGGAAGTACAAAGCGCGCCCCCTGCTGGGTCCGGGCGGCGGAGCGCCGGCCCTGTTCGGGCGGGACACGCGCTGGCGCGGTGTCGGGCGGCCAGGGCGGCGGGCGGCGGCTGCGCTGTCTCAACCCGGAGGCGAGGCCGAGGGGTCTCAAGGCCCAGGCCTACCCGGGAGGGGGCTGCGGGGCGGCCCCCAGGCTCCCGGAGGGCCGTCCCGAACGCGGGCGGCGGTCAGGGGGTCCTTCCCCAGGACGGCGAGGCGGGACGGCCGCGACCCGACGGCGGCTGAGCCCCTCACTGCTCCTCAGGCCCGTCACCCCCCAGCGCCTGCTCGTAGGGGCAGGGCCTGCGGCAGGGCCCAGGGGGCGCGGGGCCAGGCCCGGGCCCCACGAGCGGCGCCTCCTCCTCCGCGCCGTCCCCAGGACCGCCGCCGCGCGCGCCCTCCGCGTCGCTCTCGTCCGAGTTGTCCTCCTCCAAGTAGCGGTAGCCCCGCACCCTGTGCTGGGGCCGCGGGATGCGCGGCTGGCGCGGGCACACGCCCCGTCGCAGTTTCTGCTCCATGCTCAGGTACGAGATCGAGGCCGCCACCAGCGTCACCAGCAGCACGGCCAGCTTGGCCTGGGCGCAAAGGGAGGGATGTAGGGGACCCGCGGGCCGCCTGTCCCGCGCCGTCCCGCACCGGCGCTGTCGCCTCCCTTACCTCTCCCGGAGCCACCCCCACCCCCGCTTCTCCAGCACCCGTCCTGAGTACCCCCCCACCCCACGCGCCAGGCTGAAGGCCAGGCTCAGCCCTATATAGTCGCCCTGCCTCTCAGGGCCTCAGTTTCCCTAACTGTAATAATAACCCTTTGCCTCATGGGGTAGATGTCAGGATGTTGACATGCCCAGACACAGGCCTGGCCCCTCTTTACAGGGGCTTACTCTGTCCCCTCCACACCAGGACCTCAAGTAATGCACCTCAGATTTTTCTGCATCTCAGATTAACCCACGGTCAGAAATAACTCTACTGCATAATTCAGCGCACGCACACACTCGCATGCACACTCCCTGTTAAACTGACACAGCAGTGGGTGGGATCAAAGCTCCAGGAACCTTGTCCCTGAAGGCATGGAGGGAGACAGGCCCTCGGCATCCAGCGCAGAACCCCACATCTGACTATCAAACTGCCCACAAGGTGGCTGGGATGTGCCCACAGGAAAGAGCAAACTGACTCGTCTCAGAGACTGTAAACTGAGGCGTGCAGGAGGTAAGGCAGCAAGCCAATGGTGCCCTTCAGGGGCTGTGAGGCCAGGGCGGTCACTCAGGAAGTATCTCTTGCCTAGGGGGTGGCGTGAGGGGTGCCTGATGCCCAGGAGTCCTCCTGCCACCCGCGCGGCCTTACCTTCATGGGCAGGCTGGAGCCCAGGTACACTGCAAAGATGGCCACGGCCTGCCACCAGTGATAGATGGTGAAGATGAAGTCTTGCCTCTCTTTGTCCTCATACAGGATTCCCAGGAGTGCTGAAGGCAGGTACGACAGGGCAGGAAGGGGACAGGTGTCAAGTAGGGCCCAGAGGAGCTGATCTCCCACCTGCGACCCTCTTAGGTCCTGCCTGGTTAAAACCTTTGGCTCCAGAATTCCTAGAGAGCCCTTGTAACCAGATCATGGCCTGCCCCCTAGTGGAGACTCTGGTTATCACGCTGCGCTGGGTGCTGCGCAGAGGCAGGAACATGTGAGCCCAGCTGGGGGATGCAGGTAGGCCTTGCTGTGGGCGGCACATGTGTGGCCTCGAAAGTGGAAAGCCCTATGTACAGTCACATTCTGTCCTCCTTAGGATCCCAGGTCTGCAGTGCCAGGGGTTCTTTCTCCTCATTCAGGGCTCAGGGAGGGCAAGCAAGCATTCTGCCAATCAAACCTGAAGCTCAGAAGTTTACACTTATTTCCCAAAGAATCCTCCCTGGAGTGGGCAGAAAGCACCAGACAGGAGTCAGGAGACTCAGATTCTACTCTCAGGACTGTACACTGCAGAGAGCTGGCACAAAGAGGAGGATTCATATGTTGGCTCTATGGGTAACTCAGGGTAGGTTAATTTCCCAGAGCCATTTTTCCCACCTGTAAAATGAGATGACACATATATGCTGTGTTGTGAGGTTTTAATGTGAGAAAGCCTGTACAGCACATGGCAAATCGTACCCTCGCCCACCGCCCAGGACATTAACATACCCATTCTAAGGCCTGGCAGTGTGACTGTACCCCCCTGGAGCTATGAATGTACACAGAGCCCCCTGAGTCCCCAAGGAGGAGACAGGGAGTGGAGCCTGGCAGAAGGGGATGCAGGGACCAGTCCCAAGTCCAGACATATCATGGGCACAAGGTGGCCAGGCTGGATGCTGCCAAGAGCTGGCTGCTCCTGAACAGAAAAGCCAGATGAGTGTGGTCCCGAGTGTGGGACGCCAGCCCCATAACAGAGACGCCCAACTCTCTCTCTGCTGGGGGGTGCAGAGGTCACTTGGGCCAGCTCCTGCCCTACCCACAGTAACATGACCTCCACCATGCCACACCTCCAGGGGTGATGTTGAAAACTGTTAACAGCACCAGCCCACCAGAGAAGATCCCAATGTAGAAGACCCAGATGGTTGCACCTGTGTGTACGGCTGTGTGTCCCTGGTATATGCCCACCTGTGGGCAGCAACTGCCATACAGCTGAACTCTGACCCACCCCCTCCTTTCTGCAAACAGGGTCCCATTCTCCCCTGCTCCCACTGCAGCAGCCTGGCCTTTGGGCCTGGACTCTCTCAGTCTACAGACCAGTGTTGGGGTTCCATGCTCATTCCTGCTCCTCTCCAGATTTGCACTTACACCCTGCAGTGTGCTGTGGACAGGCCACTGCTGCTTCTCATGCTCCCTAGGGTACAGATCAGAATCAGCTCCCAGTATCTTGAAAACTATACCAAGGTGGGCTGTGTCTCCTGGTATGAAAATGAGGTATCCCCAACCATACCTACCCCACCAGATCTCACACAGACTTCCCAATGTCTGTAGGGCCCCATGCCCACACTGAGGCATCCACAGGATGTACATGGCATGTGACCCCTCACCTGTCCCCAGGGTGTCCCTTCCACATCTGTCCCTACAGGTCCATGGGACTTGCTTCCATCCCTGGAGTATCCACAGGGATCTCCACCTACTTCCCCCATATCCACAGGACCCCATGACAGGCCCCCAGGGTGTCCTCCCTGGGACCCCATGTCTGCCCCTGGGATGTCTGCTCTCCTCACCAACCACTGTGAAGTAGCCACAGGGACCCCTGCCCAGCCACCCCAGTGCCCCCGGCTATACTCACTGCTTAGCCCAGTCTTGTTGAGGGCGCTGCCCACACCCCAAAGAACAGCTGCTACATAGAGAATCCAGATGTGTTGCAGAACCCGAGGCGTGGGGGCCCAGAAGAAGAGGCTGAGAGTAAGCAGCAGGTGCAGTCCGGCCCCAGCCACCAGGGGCACCTGGCGCGGCAGCCACAGCCCCAGCAGGCCCAAGACTGAGGAGGCAGAGGCGCCCAGGCTGTAAGCCACGAGGAGGTGGGCCAGGCGCTCCAGCCCCACTGAGCACACACCGTAGCCCTGGAGGAACAGGGCGCATGTTGGAGGGTATCTGGCCCAGGCTCAGGCCTTCCCCACACGAGGCCTCACTTTAGGCCACACCCTGCCCTCTTTGGGACACAGGGGGTCTAAGTCCCTCCAAGGCTCATGGAAGGTTCTAGAGGGGCAATGAGAAAATGCTTGTACAGTGTCCCCAGACACCAAAGCTGTACCTGCGCATAATCACTTTAAGGGCTTTATCCCACCTCAACCGTGTAACACTCTAGGAGTGAGCATCGTTATTACACGCACTCCACAAATGAGGAAACTGGGGCTTACAGAGGTTAAAATTACTTTCTGTAGGTAGAGGGATAATGGGGTTAAAGAGAGGGTAGTATTTGGGACATACTTGTACATACGTATACATATATTTTAAATTTCATTTATCTGAAATTCAAATTTAACTGGACGTCCTATATTTTGTCTGGCAACCCTAGGCACGCTGTACATACCAGGGCAAGACCAGTGCAGGCAAAGAGCACCTCAAAGCCACTGTAGATAAAGAAAGGCACGAGGTGGCGCAGGCGGAAGTCGCGGACGTGCTTGAAGGGCAGCTGGAAGATGTTGCCCCAGCCCACGCTGCGCAGGTCGATCTCCTCCGTGGGCCGGTACGCAGCGCCGCACAGGCCCAGCACCTGCCGACCGGCGCTGTGAGCGTAGGGCAGCCAGGGACGCCGGCCCTCAGCCCCGCCTCAGCCCCAGGCCCCGCCCCAAGACGCCCTTGGAGACCTTGACCCTTTCCTCAAGGCCCCGCCCCAGGCGCAATCCCTGAGATCCCGCCTCTCAGATCCTCCTCCACGCCCCTAACTTCTCTCGTTCGGCTTCCAGCACCGCCCCTGGGTTGGAGCCACACCTTCCGACACTCAGCCCTGGGCTCCGCCCCCAGCCCAGGTCACAGCCAATCCCCTCGCACCCTGTCTCCAGCTTGACCCCGAACCAGGCTTGGTCCCCCTCAGTCTGCAGCCATCTGCAGGACACCCCAGGCGCTCTGGCTTCGGTCCCGGACTCTGGCGGACCAGGGAGGGGAGGGGCTTCCAGGAGGGAGGGCAGCCCGGTGGGAGGGGCTTAGGGAGCCCCTCCCCCAAGGGAGGGCTCAAGGCCTCCTCACACAGCGGCCCAGTTACCAGCAGCCGGGCAGCTAGGCACACATCTCGGGCACTCTCCGACCCCCGGGGGCCTGAGCCTTGCCAGTCAGGACAGTACAAAATATTTTTATTGCTCATTTTCTATAAAAAGTCGCGCCTCGGGACCGAGGCGCACCCCGGGGTGGGAAGTACAAAGCGCGCCCCCTGCTGGGTCCGGGCGGCGGAGCGCCGGCCCTGTTCGGGCGGGACACGCGCTGGCGCGGTGTCGGGCGGCCAGGGCGGCGGGCGGCGGCTGCGCTGTCTCAACCCGGAGGCGAGGCCGAGGGGTCTCAAGGCCCAGGCCTACCCGGGAGGGGGCTGCGGGGCGGCCCCCAGGCTCCCGGAGGGCCGTCCCGAACGCGGGCGGCGGTCAGGGGGTCCTTCCCCAGGACGGCGAGGCGGGACGGCCGCGACCCGACGGCGGCTGAGCCCCTCACTGCTCCTCAGGCCCGTCACCCCCCAGCGCCTGCTCGTAGGGGCAGGGCCTGCGGCAGGGCCCAGGGGGCGCGGGGCCAGGCCCGGGCCCCACGAGCGGCGCCTCCTCCTCCGCGCCGTCCCCAGGACCGCCGCCGCGCGCGCCCTCCGCGTCGCTCTCGTCCGAGTTGTCCTCCTCCAAGTAGCGGTAGCCCCGCACCCTGTGCTGGGGCCGCGGGATGCGCGGCTGGCGCGGGCACACGCCCCGTCGCAGTTTCTGCTCCATGCTCAGGTACGAGATCGAGGCCGCCACCAGCGTCACCAGCAGCACGGCCAGCTTGGCCTGGGCGCAAAGGGAGGGATGTAGGGGACCCGCGGGCCGCCTGTCCCGCGCCGTCCCGCACCGGCGCTGTCGCCTCCCTTACCTCTCCCGGAGCCACCCCCACCCCCGCTTCTCCAGCACCCGTCCTGAGTACCCCCCCACCCCACGCGCCAGGCTGAAGGCCAGGCTCAGCCCTATATAGTCGCCCTGCCTCTCAGGGCCTCAGTTTCCCTAACTGTAATAATAACCCTTTGCCTCATGGGGTAGATGTCAGGATGTTGACATGCCCAGACACAGGCCTGGCCCCTCTTTACAGGGGCTTACTCTGTCCCCTCCACACCAGGACCTCAAGTAATGCACCTCAGATTTTTCTGCATCTCAGATTAACCCACGGTCAGAAATAACTCTACTGCATAATTCAGCGCACGCACACACTCGCATGCACACTCCCTGTTAAACTGACACAGCAGTGGGTGGGATCAAAGCTCCAGGAACCTTGTCCCTGAAGGCATGGAGGGAGACAGGCCCTCGGCATCCAGCGCAGAACCCCACATCTGACTATCAAACTGCCCACAAGGTGGCTGGGATGTGCCCACAGGAAAGAGCAAACTGACTCGTCTCAGAGACTGTAAACTGAGGCGTGCAGGAGGTAAGGCAGCAAGCCAATGGTGCCCTTCAGGGGCTGTGAGGCCAGGGCGGTCACTCAGGAAGTATCTCTTGCCTAGGGGGTGGCGTGAGGGGTGCCTGATGCCCAGGAGTCCTCCTGCCACCCGCGCGGCCTTACCTTCATGGGCAGGCTGGAGCCCAGGTACACTGCAAAGATGGCCACGGCCTGCCACCAGTGATAGATGGTGAAGATGAAGTCTTGCCTCTCTTTGTCCTCATACAGGATTCCCAGGAGTGCTGAAGGCAGGTACGACAGGGCAGGAAGGGGACAGGTGTCAAGTAGGGCCCAGAGGAGCTGATCTCCCACCTGCGACCCTCTTAGGTCCTGCCTGGTTAAAACCTTTGGCTCCAGAATTCCTAGAGAGCCCTTGTAACCAGATCATGGCCTGCCCCCTAGTGGAGACTCTGGTTATCACGCTGCGCTGGGTGCTGCGCAGAGGCAGGAACATGTGAGCCCAGCTGGGGGATGCAGGTAGGCCTTGCTGTGGGCGGCACATGTGTGGCCTCGAAAGTGGAAAGCCCTATGTACAGTCACATTCTGTCCTCCTTAGGATCCCAGGTCTGCAGTGCCAGGGGTTCTTTCTCCTCATTCAGGGCTCAGGGAGGGCAAGCAAGCATTCTGCCAATCAAACCTGAAGCTCAGAAGTTTACACTTATTTCCCAAAGAATCCTCCCTGGAGTGGGCAGAAAGCACCAGACAGGAGTCAGGAGACTCAGATTCTACTCTCAGGACTGTACACTGCAGAGAGCTGGCACAAAGAGGAGGATTCATATGTTGGCTCTATGGGTAACTCAGGGTAGGTTAATTTCCCAGAGCCATTTTTCCCACCTGTAAAATGAGATGACACATATATGCTGTGTTGTGAGGTTTTAATGTGAGAAAGCCTGTACAGCACATGGCAAATCGTACCCTCGCCCACCGCCCAGGACATTAACATACCCATTCTAAGGCCTGGCAGTGTGACTGTACCCCCCTGGAGCTATGAATGTACACAGAGCCCCCTGAGTCCCCAAGGAGGAGACAGGGAGTGGAGCCTGGCAGAAGGGGATGCAGGGACCAGTCCCAAGTCCAGACATATCATGGGCACAAGGTGGCCAGGCTGGATGCTGCCAAGAGCTGGCTGCTCCTGAACAGAAAAGCCAGATGAGTGTGGTCCCGAGTGTGGGACGCCAGCCCCATAACAGAGACGCCCAACTCTCTCTCTGCTGGGGGGTACAGAGGTCACTTGGGCCAGCTCCTGCCCTACCCACAGTAACATGACCTCCACCATGCCACACCTCCAGGGGTGATGTTGAAAACTGTTAACAGCACCAGCCCACCAGAGAAGATCCCAATGTAGAAGACCCAGATGGTTGCACCTGTGTGTACGGCTGTGTGTCCCTGGTATATGCCCACCTGTGGGCAGCAACTGCCATACAGCTGAACTCTGACCCACCCCCTCCTTTCTGCAAACAGGGTCCCATTCTCCCCTGCTCCCACTGCAGCAGCCTGGCCTTTGGGCCTGGACTCTCTCAGTCTACAGACCAGTGTTGGGGTTCCATGCTCATTCCTGCTCCTCTCCAGATTTGCACTTACACCCTGCAGTGTGCTGTGGACAGGCCACTGCTGCTTCTCATGCTCCCTAGGGTACAGATCAGAATCAGCTCCCAGTATCTTGAAAACTATACCAAGGTGGGCTGTGTCTCCTGGTATGAAAATGAGGTATCCCCAACCATACCTACCCCACCAGATCTCACACAGACTTCCCAATGTCTGTAGGGCCCCATGCCCACACTGAGGCATCCACAGGATGTACATGGCATGTGACCCCTCACCTGTCCCCAGGGTGTCCCTTCCACATCTGTCCCTACAGGTCCATGGGACTTGCTTCCATCCCTGGAGTATCCACAGGGATCTCCACCTACTTCCCCCATATCCACAGGACCCCATGACAGGCCCCCAGGGTGTCCTCCCTGGGACCCCATGTCTGCCCCTGGGATGTCTGCTCTCCTCACCAACCACTGTGAAGTAGCCACAGGGACCCCTGCCCAGCCACCCCAGTGCCCCCGGCTATACTCACTGCTTAGCCCAGTCTTGTTGAGGGCGCTGCCCACACCCCAAAGAACAGCTGCTACATAGAGAATCCAGATGTGTTGCAGAACCCGAGGCGTGGGGGCCCAGAAGAAGAGGCTGAGAGTAAGCAGCAGGTGCAGTCCGGCCCCAGCCACCAGGGGCACCTGGCGCGGCAGCCACAGCCCCAGCAGGCCCAAGACTGAGGAGGCAGAGGCGCCCAGGCTGTAAGCCACGAGGAGGTGGGCCAGGCGCTCCAGCCCCACTGAGCACACACCGTAGCCCTGGAGGAACAGGGCGCATGTTGGAGGGTATCTGGCCCAGGCTCAGGCCTTCCCCACACGAGGCCTCACTTTAGGCCACACCCTGCCCTCTTTGGGACACAGGGGGTCTAAGTCCCTCCAAGGCTCATGGAAGGTTCTAGAGGGGCAATGAGAAAATGCTTGTACAGTGTCCCCAGACACCAAAGCTGTACCTGCGCATAATCACTTTAAGGGCTTTATCCCACCTCAACCGTGTAACACTCTAGGAGTGAGCATCGTTATTACACGCACTCCACAAATGAGGAAACTGGGGCTTACAGAGGTTAAAATTACTTTCTGTAGGTAGAGGGATAATGGGGTTAAAGAGAGGGTAGTATTTGGGACATACTTGTACATACGTATACATATATTTTAAATTTCATTTATCTGAAATTCAAATTTAACTGGACGTCCTATATTTTGTCTGGCAACCCTAGGCACGCTGTACATACCAGGGCAAGACCAGTGCAGGCAAAGAGCACCTCAAAGCCACTGTAGATAAAGAAAGGCACGAGGTGGCGCAGGCGGAAGTCGCGGACGTGCTTGAAGGGCAGCTGGAAGATGTTGCCCCAGCCCACGCTGCGCAGGTCGATCTCCTCCGTGGGCCGGTACGCAGCGCCGCACAGGCCCAGCACCTGCCGACCGGCGCTGTGAGCGTAGGGCAGCCAGGGACGCCGGCCCTCAGCCCCGCCTCAGCCCCAGGCCCCGCCCCAAGACGCCCTTGGAGACCTTGACCCTTTCCTCAAGGCCCCGCCCCAGGCGCAATCCCTGAGATCCCGCCTCTCAGATCCTCCTCCACGCCCCTAACTTCTCTCGTTAGGCTTCCAGCACCGCCCCTGGGTTGGAGCCACACCTTCCGACACTCAGCCCTGGGCTCCGCCCCCAGCCCAGGTCACAGCCAATCCCCTCGCACCCTGTCTCCAGCTTGACCCCGAACCAGGCTTGGTCCCCCTCAGTCTGCAGCCATCAGCCACGTCTCCAAACCTCAGCCCCAACTCCTAGGTTCAGGCCCCCTCCCCAGCACCCAGCCCTGGCTCCCGGCTGAGACCACATATCCCAGCGGCACGCCTTCTCCCCGCCCCGGTCCCCCGGCATCACTGACAACGCCCGACCCCCGTCCCAGGCCGCACCAGCAGCATCGCCAGGAAGGCCACCGCCATGAGCACGCTCTCCACCACTATGAGGTTTCGACTCCGCGGTAGAGTCCGCAGAACAGTTTTGTTGAAGCCGTTGAGGATGCCTTCGCTGTTAGTACCTGAGAAGGGGCGGGTGGGGGACCCCGTGAGGGAGCAGGGCACTGTCAGCTCAACCACAGAGAAATGCAGCGAGGGATGGGAGGGCCAGAGGGGGTGGGCAAGAACAGTGCCTGCAAAGAAAGGCAGGGTCTTTGGGGAGCAGTTTGGAGGTGAGGACTCTGGGGCTGGATGTGCCCCGAAGAGAGCAGCACCTTTCCCCTTTCCTGCCTTTGTGTCCAGAAGGTTGGGGAGGAAGGAAACACCCACCTTCATTCAGTTACCCGGAATTGATTGAGCTCTGAGGGTAGGCTTGGCTCTGAGAGACATCTCATAGGCAGCCACAGCTCAGATGGCACCTCCTCCAGGCAGCCTTCCTTGATGCATTGCCCAACCCCATACCCCTAAGGATGGGTCAGATGTCCTAACTACCTACTCCTACAGGGCCCCGTGCCTTGCCCATGAGAGCAGTGGGACACTGAGCCTTTTGAGTGAGGGCATCCTTTCTGTGTGCCCTCGACGGCCCAGTGTCTGCTGGATGACTCAGTGGGGGAGGTGAGAAGCCCTGGGGACCCCCTCTCCAAGAGGACTAACCGCAGTTCTGCACATGGTACAGCGTATGGTTCAGGTCATGGAGGTAGTGGTTCAGGAAGTAGATCATGGGCAGCTGGGCACATGCGAAGCTTAGCTGTGGACAGGAGGGCAATTTGGGCTAGGCCTGCACCCAGGCAGGGAGCACGGGCATGATCTGGGAGGAGTCTAGGCACAGCCTTGGGGGGTCGGGAGCCCTCCCACCTCTGGGGGCAGGTGGAGACGGGGAGTACCCAGTGCACCGAGGACAGGAGAGGGATGAGGTGTCAGTTGCTAGAGATAAGCAATCAGGGGTTGGCTCAAGAAAGGGTAGCGGGTCTAGAGGGTCCAAAGACTGTGGAATGGGCTCAAGGTATGGGTTCCAGGCCTGGAACCCCGCCCCCCCCCCCCCACACAAGGCCCATGCGTGGCACTCACATGGAAGAAGCTATAGAAGATGGCTTGGAAGACCAGGAGATAGGGTGCATGGGAGCCCCGGGGTGGGCGCTGCTGGGGGCCCCGCTCATCCTGCGCCTTGTAGTGGGAGTACTCATAGTACTTCTGGGCCATCCTGGACCACAAAGGAGAGAAGACTCCCCATTCTGACCTCTGCCAGACACCTCTGCTTCCTGCACCCAGGGCTGCGGGCTGGCCAGCCTGTCTCACAGATGCAGAAACTGAGGCCCAGAGGGCAAGAGGGACTGGCTCAAGGTCCCCCTGGCCAAGGTCAGCAATGCAGCAGAGACTCTGCCAGGTCTCTAGCCCCCTGCCCTGCTGTCCACCAGGCTTACCTAGTGATGTAGTTGCCCATGGAAGCCCAAAGAGGCACAATGGCCATGCCCAGGGCCACGGCTGAGGGCACAAGTGTGTAGTAACGTTCCCAATAGTTGGTGGAGACGAAGAGGGCATAGGTGCCCACGGCCAGGAACATCATCCACTTGGTACCAAAAAACCTGTGGGCAATGGGAGGGCTGCTGGTACCATGGGCCTACCCGGACTCCCATGGCCTGAAACCAGAGTGGCCCCAACTCCTAGCTCACGAGGCTGTGGGAGTAGGGAGTCCCCCGGCCCTGGAGTCAGGGGCCCTAACATGGAATCTCAGAGATACGGACTGCTGGTGGTCTCAGGCCAACCACTGCATCCACACACTTCAGCTTTCACAGCTGTGGTGCGGGCACAGAGCAACCCATGAGCCTCTCGTGGCCACTGCAAGGGTGGGCAGAGATAAGGGGAGGGAGAGAGTCATGAGTCAGGGGCCCATGGGCGCACCCAGCTCTTATTCCTGCTCTGGCCTGGCTCCCAACCCCCTTCCCTCCCCGAGCTCATGTGCTGCGACTGCAGGGCCAAGGGACATGACCCGAGTTGGGCCCCCTCCTGGCCAGAGGCACAGCCGGCACCCTGCCTCTCTCTCTCCCTGAGTTTCCTGCTCACTGGCTCCGAGGACAGCAGGCTTGCTGGCTCTGGGAAAATGTCACAGTGTTCAAACGGACAGAAAAAGGGCCCATTCAGAGCATGGAGGCTGGTCAGCCTAAAGGCACTTCTGGAATTTTTGGGGTTTTTTGAGTATTTGTGTTAATTTACTCCTTTCTTTGTCTCGGTTTCAGGAAGCTCAAAGCCAAATGACCCTAGTTCTTTGATACAATTACTCTTTTCTATTGCAGGCTCCGGGTTCTTTTATTATCCTTATTTTGCCATATAATACATAGATAGGCAGCCCCCTCCAATCTATTTGGGGAAGGATAGGCCACAAAAAATACACTGTACATTTTGATGGAGTAAAACAGCAAATATAAAAGTACTGGACTCAGTGCTGGTGAGGCTATGGTTTCAAAATGACACACGCAGCTCAGGTCATGCAGACTGGCATAGCCCTTTGGGAAATCACAGGGGTCAAGCATGGGGGCTTGAAGCCACTTTGCCAGATTCAAACCTGCAGTCTGTCAGCTGCTGCCAGGGACCCTTGTAAAAACTCTCGGTTTCTCTGTGTCTAGGATTAGAGTGCTTACCTGGACTGCAGGGACTGAGATAACTCTTGTATACTGCCCAGCACAAAGGAAGCGAAATAAGAGTTCGCTGTTATTATTCATAGTGATAGGTTTCAAGAGCCAGAAAGCCTTTCACATGCCTCTGACCTAGTAAGGGCACTGCTGGGAAATTATCCGAGGAATTTTTTTTTCTTTTTTAAGAAGAAACCAGCTATAAGCACAAAGTGAGCATGTAAGAAAGGAGAGGGAGCTGTCATGCCCAACTCTGAGCCATAGCTCGGTGCCCCCCTCTGCAGAAGATGCTACCATCACAGAGTCCTCACCTTGAAGATTGGAGCAGGCCAAGTTGTGTGCAGGGAAAAGAAAGGAAGTAAAAGCCAGCACTGCACACACACTCTGGTGACGAGGCCATAAACATCAGCCACGTATGCTGGGGGACAACCAAGTTCGCTGACTTACTGCAGGGCTTAGGAAGGATTTTCTCTTGTCTGATTTCAGTTATGATTCTAATGCTATTTGTATAATTGGGGAAAAGGGGTTTGGGGGCTTTTTTATTTTTTTGAGATAGGGGAACTGAAAGCCATCCACTTTGTGCCCTGGGTCCCATCTGAGCAGAGACCTACCACCTGGTGGGGAGTTCTGCCCTACAGGGAAGCTGGGCAAGATGCCTCCAAGGCCCATGTCTAGTGCAGACCCTCCAGGGCACCTGCTCAGCTGTGCCTTTGCAGTGAGAAATGTCCCTTAACACTGGCCGCAGCTGACTGGGCCAAGGGTGGGTGCCTGAGCCTTACTGGCTGAGCAGACTCCAGATATTCCGCAGCCCTAACCCCAGAAAGTCACTGTGGCTCCAGGTCACAGAGGAGGCCAAGGGTAGGAGCCTGAGTGGATTTCTGTTACTTGAAACCCACTGTGCCCTAGGACACAGCTCTTGTTTTCTTCCCCAAACCCAGTTCCACCCCTTCTTGCTCACCCCTTGGGGTCGGGGAACAGAGCCTCTCCCCAACTCCCTACTCTCCAAGAACACAGGGCAGCCAGAGACCCCATATTCCAGCAGCCTTTGCACCCTTTCAAGATCACGGTGGCAGCCGAGCCCTCATGGGACAGCAGTGCCACACCTGATGAGCACGGGTGTGTAGAGCAGGGCCGCAATGGGCGTCACGTTGATGCCCATCAGCATCTTCTTGTCGATGTCGGGCAGCCCCATGTTGCCGTACTTCACCTCGCGGTAGGTCTCATCATAGTGCAGGATCAGCTGCATCTGCAGGAGGCCTGGGGACAGGGAGCAGCCTGGAGGGGGCAGCCTGGCTCTGGGGGCAATCAAGCACAGGCGGGAAGGCGACGCTGGAATTAGCGCCAGTCCCAGAGGGGTCCCCGATACCAACGCCCGTGAGGGCGGAAAGGGACGCCAGGATGAGCCGAGAGTCCCGCCGGCCAGCGGCAGCCCCAGCGACCTGACTCCGGAAGCCCTCGCCGCGCCCCCCATCGCTCGGTCTGTCTCTGGGTTCCAGCGCTCCTGATCCCAAAGCCGGCGGACCTACCCAGGGCGCCCAGCCCCTGCCCGCACCCCCAGGAAAGCGGTGGTGGGGCCTGGGGACCCTGCGCGGTCTGATCCCACCGGGTGAGGGGGCCTGGGGGCGGAGGGCGCAGCTACGGCTGCGAGGGCGGCCGGCGGGGAAGTGAAAGAGGAAGGCAGGCCGCGGGCCCCTAAGTTTCTCTTTCCTGGAGGGGCCTGGGAGGGGGCGGGGCGGCCCAGGGGGCAGCGCCCCTGGCCGGCGGGCAGCGCGTACCCAGGTAGACGCCGTAGGTGAGCGTGCCGCCCGCGCTGGCCGCCAGCACGTTCCTGAGCACCCCGAGGCGCTTGCGGCGGTAGTAGCGGCGCTCCTCCTCCTCCTCGTTGTAGTTGGGGTACGCGCCCACCAGCTCGTCCAGCTGCGGGGCACGCACAGCGCTCGCAGCCGGCTGGGGCGCCCAGGCCCCGCGCCCGCCCCGGGGAGACCGGCGTCCCCGCGCCCCGCTCGGCCCCCGTCCCCGCTCACCGGGGCCTCGGGCCCGTCGGGGACGCAGCACCCGTCCTCGTCGCCCTGCGGCCCCGCGGCCCCCGCCACCGGGTAGAGCGGCGGCTCCGCCTCCATGGCCCGAGCCCGCCAGAGACTCACGGCGGCCCCGGGTGACGAGCCGCGACCCGGGAACTTCCTCCCGAGTCCGGGATCAGCCCCCGCCCGCCCCCAGGCCACCTCCCCCGGGAGGCGTGTCCTGCGCGGGGGGTGGGGGCGCCCGTGTGTCGCGTCCGGCCAGGACTCGGTCTCAGGGCGAGGGGACGCGAGCTGGAGTCCCCGCTCAGCCACTTCCTGGCTTTGCGACTTTGGGAATTAGCTCCACTTCTCTGTGCCTCATTTTCCGGTAATAGGGGAACATTCAGCACCTCTTCACTTCCTAGAGTCATTGACGGATTACTGAGTGAATACAGACCTGGTATAAGCTCCGCTCAGTGTTACCCCTGTCATCCCCAGCCCCGCCTCCAGGCCCCATTTGCGGTGTCTGCGGGTCAGCAAAGAGCCCGGCAGCAGCCCAGAGGACCCCCACCACGGGGCTCGGCGCCGTGCCCACCTCCCACGCACCCTTCAGCTTCAGTTCTGGCATCTGCAAGTGGGGGCTCTGGCAGGGCCACTGGGAGGCTGAGATTGTGGTGGCCGCTGGACCACGGCAAGGCGACCCCTTCACCAGCCTGTGGCAGAGTGCAGAGCCTCGTCCCCACGGGGCATCGGGTCCTGGGCTGCAAGGGTCGCCCATGCAGCTCCCGTCTCGCTGGAGCTGGCACCTTAGCGCACTGGCTGTCGCCCTGGTTAGAGACACCTGGGGAGCTTTCAGAACATACGGTTCCTGGGACAGTCTCTTCAGCAGATGGTGTTGGGAAAGCTGGATACCACGTGCAGAAAAATGAAACTGGACCCCTGTGCCACACCACTCACAAAACATAACTCAAAATGGATCACATTTTCAAACGTAAGATCGGATACCATAAAATCTTAGAAGAAAACACAGGGAGAAAGTTTCTTGACATTGGTCTTGGCAATGATTTTTTGGATATGATACCAAAAGTACAAACAGCACAAGAAAAAAATCAACAAGTGAGACTTCATCAAACGTAAAAGCCTTTGCACAGTAAAAGAAAATAAAAAGGCAATTTATGGAATGGGAGAGAACATTTACAAACCATTTATCATACAAGGGGTTAATACCCAAATTTTATAAAGAAATCATACAACTCAATAACAAAAAAAATCTGATTTTAAAATAAGTAGAGGAAATAGACATTTTTTTCCCAGAGAAGATATCCAAATGGCTGACAGACACATGAAAAGTGCTTCACGTCACTAATCAGGGAAATGCAAATCAGAACCACACTTGTCAGAATGGCTATCATCACAAAGACGAGGGGTAATAAGCATTGGCAAGGTTGTAGAGAAAAGGGAACCCTTGTGCGCTGCTGGGATTGTAAACTAGTCCAGCCATTTTGGAGAGCAGTGAGAAGTTTCCTCAAAAAAAAAAAAAAAAATAGAACTACCATACGATCCAGCAATCCCACCTCTGGGTATATATCCAAAAGAAATAAAAACAGGTTACTGAAGAGATATATACACTCTCACATTTATTGCTGCATTCACAATGGCCAAGATATGGAAACAACCTAAGTGTCCCTCCACAGAGGAATGGATAAAGATGTGATATATATGCAATGAAACACTATCAGCCATGAGAAACAGGAAATCCTACCATTGCAACCACATGAATAAACCTCGAGGACAGTACACCAAGTAAACTAAGTTAAAGACAAATATGGCAAGATGTTCTTTATATGTGGATTCTAAAAAAAACAACCAAGAGTGGAATGGTGGTCAGCAAAAGTTGGGGAGTGGGTGAATGGGAGGCTTGTTGTATAAGGGTACATACTTGCAGCTAGAGTCCTGGAGACCTAACACACAGTGCAGAGATTACAGACAATGAAATTGTATAATAAACATTAAGCTTGCTAATAAACTAGATAGATCTCAGTTGTTCCCACCACTAGAAGAAATGATAATTATGTGACATGATGGAGATATTAGCTAGCATATTAGCTAAAGCTACAGTGGCAATAATATTGCAGCATAAATGTATCAGATCAGCTTGTTGCACACCTCAGACTTACACAATGTCAGGTGTCAATTATATCTCCATTAAAAAAAACCCAGTTCTCCTCCCTCCTCCCACTTCACTCCTCCTGCTGCTCCAGGAGAATGTTCTTCCCACTCTCAGCTCTCAGGATAAGAAACCATCCCTGTCAAGGGTCACAACCCCCAGCCCTGACTGCTTCCCTTCGGGTTTTCTGGGGTTTGATTGTCCATGACCCCCACACCCTGGCAATTGCTCACATGTTCCCTTTATGCAGAGGATTGTGTCAGGCACTAAGTAGGTGCTCAATAAATGTGAGTGGACAGATGGACAAGTGAACGGATGGCAAATACCACTCCAGAAGGGCTGCTGGGAAGGGGGACAGCTGGGGGCGTGGAGGGCGTGGTTTCCAGGGGCTCCAGGCTGTGAGGTGAGGAGCTTTCTCCAGACCACACCTGGGTACTGATAGTGGGGAAGCGGACTGGGGAGCCATGCCAGGGGTGCCTCCAAGTGGGAGACATGGAGAGGGCAGGAGAGAGGGCAGGGCCTGAGGTCTGGGGCAAGGAAGGGGCGGGAGAGTGGGGGCACATGGGTGCCAGGTGACATCAGAGAATGGACGCCGGCTTCGTTACCTGGGGTGACAACAGAGTCCAGAGGGCGGCTGCGTCTCTGGGTGGGGAGGGATGAGGAGGTCCAGAAGGTCATGGGGCTGTCAGTGGACGTGGGTGCCCTTGGGAGGATCTAGTCCTGTAGAACTCAGCGGGCAGCAGGAGACATGGCCCTGGGGTGGGGCAGACATGACCACCTGAGGTAGGAGGAGTGACCTCAGGGGCGGGGTCAGCAGGGCAGGGGTGGGAGGCAGTGGCCGGAGCACTGCGGGTAAGTGAGGAGGACACCAGCCCCAAGCCCCTGCCCCTTCCATGAGCGCGCTGCTAGAATCAGAGTGTAAGGGGGCCCGCGGGCCTGGGTGGAGACCGGCACCTGCCCCCTCTCTGCTCTGGGCTGCCAGGGGAGAAAGGAAGAACTCAACCTGTGTGCCTGGCTGGCAGCCGCAGCTCCTCGGATCCTCTGATGGGAGCCCAGGACCAGCCAGGGAGGGCCAGGCTGGGGAAGGGTCCTCTTGGTGTGAGTGAGGCGGGATACCCAAGATGCCCCTCAACTGGGCGCCTGGCCTCCCATGGGCATTGAGTGGGAAGCCCCTCACCTGGCCTTGTGCACACCCCAATATTTCCTCACCTGCAAAATAGGAGTAAGCAGAAAAGGACCCACACCAACTGAAATCAGGATGGACGGGGCAAGGGGGACAGAAGCTCTCAGGGGCCAAAGCAGTGCTCGAGGCGAGAGAGGAGATGCCCCAGGCTGAACAGTCAGTGGAGAAAGCTCCTTACCTCATCAGAAAGAGGACAGCCCACAGAAGTCTTATAAAGGAGGGGAGGGAAGATGGGGTAGTCGGAGGGAAGCTGGGAGCTCTGGGGTGCAGCCTCCTGAAGCTGAAGCCTGACAGCCCACAGTCCGGGGAGAGGCGGGGTCACTGCTAGGCGCCACCGGGCAGGGAGGGAAGCTCTCAGACTCAGTGGGTGCATTTCAAGCTCGCAGGGTTTTTCCACACCCTGTGTGGGTGTGTGTCGTCCGAGGAAGGTTAAAGTCTCCGGGTGGGCTTGTCTGCTCTCACGCAGGGTGGCGGGGGGGGCAGGCTTGTTGAACAGTGGATGTCTTGGGCAGACTCAGGGCCCATTCATTTTGTGTCTCCCACCGGAAGGGACCCACCAGACGAAACCAAGTGGACTGTGTTTTAAGAAACAGCCAGACGCAAAGAGAAGGTGAGAGAGGAGCAGGAACTTTGTTCCAGGGAGTGGTGTCCCTGCATAAGGAGGACACCAGTACCACTGTGTCCCCAGAACGTCCCCCAAGCTGACCCCTACCAGCATGCCAGCCTGTTCTCACTCAAAAGCGCAGAAGCTGCTTCTGAATTACTGCCTCCCATGATACCGCATGCTTCCTCTAAGGGGTGGGGAGGTGGGAGAGAGGTGACAGGGGTAAAGCGGCACAAACTTCCAATGCAGAATAAATAAGCCACAGGGATGAAAGGTACAGGGGATACAGTCAATATGATCATAATAACTGCGCGGACAGACGTCAACGCACATAGCTGTCAGATCCCTGTGCTGCGCACCTGAAACTAATATAATACTGTATATCAACTATACTTCAATAAAATAAATAGATAAAATAGATTGCTTTATTAAAGCTTTATTTGGCTGCTTTATTTATTACCAAAAAAGATTGCTTTATTAAAATTGGTTGATTTCACATTTGTAGGGAGTCCTGGAAACTTGTTTCAAGACCTGATATTATGGTGCCCAGGGGCTAATGATGTTATTCTAACCTTATAAAAAGGAAATATATTTACGTCTAAATGTCACAAAAAGTCAATTCATTTTTTTTTTCAGACACCAATGCAAAGAACACAAATACAAACGTGCCAGGTCAAGTAAGGAGTACTTTCAGTGCGGTAGGGTTCCCACAGAGTGAAACCAGGTGCATTTGGGAAACCGGCACTTTCAGCCCCAGGGCTCCCAAAATCTGCTGATGTTCAGTAACTCTGACAATCAGCTAGAAAAAACATCTCACGATCTGTCTGGACTTGGGGTTTGGATGTGACCTCAGGCAAAGTGCTCTTGGAGTCCAGAGCTTTCACGTACTTGAACAACAGGCTCCCTGATTAGATGGACCAGTGAGGGGATGTGGTGGAAGTCTGGGGGGAGAAGGAAAGCCAGGGCATTGTGCCCCAGGAGGCGTGTGGGCCGCCCCTGGGCTCCTCCAGGGTCTCTGTGCTCACAGAGCGGTCCCACTGCGGTCTAACGTCCCTGGCCACCCTGACGCTCTGGGGCCTGATAACACCACTTCCCGTTGACACTCCAGCCTGGGAGTGCCTCTGAGGAGACCCACATAAACACAACAGTTGTGGCCTTCAGGGCCTGCACACCCTCCCACCCCTCTACAGGCTGCAGGCACCCCCTGCCACAGCCGCAAGAAGGAGCAGCCCCGTGCCCTGTCACCATTTTTCAAATGGTTTTCTCTATAATAAGTTTTGTTTTTTGTTCTATGAAAATAAAAGATGTCCTTACAAAAAAGCAAATACGAGAGAAAAATATTGCTCCCAGTTTGAACACCCTGAAAGAGACCTAAGATGTTGGGGAGCAAGAAAAGTGTGTTACCCCTGAATTGCATCCAAACAGGGCGAGCTGACTCACTGCTCACTCACCTAACACCACTGCCCTGGTATTGAGCCGAATCTTTAGCTCTTTTTTAAGATAAAAGCCATGGGGATGATGATTCTCACAGACTACTGGGAGGTCCCAGAGCTGAGACGGGCCAAGGACCCTGCCCAGTACCAGACAAGCCAATGCCCAGGGGGCAGTGGCTGCTGCTTTCAGACCTGAGGGCCCTGGGGTGGGGTGACCCACAGGCTCAGGGCACCCTGTAAATGCTGTGGCCGGAAGTCAGGCCTGGCTGGGCTGGAACCCCCCACACCCAGCGGCCCTCTCGCTGGGCACCTGGCTCGGCACTGCGCCTCTTCCAGCCAGACATCTCATCTGTAAAGCCCAGACCGTCACGTCTGAGAAGTACATGAGACTTTGTGTGAAGGGCTCGGCACAATGCTCAGCACACAGTAGGTGCTTAGTAAAGGTTTGCTGAGCAAGTAAATGAGTGAGTGCCAACTGTGTCCAGGGCACAGCACCCCAGTGGCTTCTGACTTTGCACCCTGGTATGGGTCCAGCTGGCCTCTAGTGGATGCTGCTGGGCAGAGGGGACACTGCAAGGGTGGTTCCCTCCTCCAGGCAGGGAGATGGAAGGAAGGCAGGGGAAGGGCTTCAGGGATAAGGCCTGGGGTGGCCCTCCCTCCGGAGGCTGGGAAAGGGTCAGGAAGACATCCACACCTACTGAGTACCTGCTGCATACCAGGTGCTTTCCAGATATGCTCTGGTTTCACTCTGGCAGCAGCTCTCATTTCAGGGGAGGAAATGAAGGCCCAGAGAGGGGCTGTGACTTGCTCAAGGTCACTTAGCAGGTGGGCTGGGAAGCCACGTCTGCATCTACTCAGCAGGTGAGGTAGTGCTGTGCTCCCTGGCAGGGCTGAGGCCCTGTGAGCCAGGCTCCCAGGTGTCCGAGCGAGGGAGGGAGGGAGGGAAGGAATGCACCCACCTGATGCCATCGCCCATGACCGGCCCACCCTCCTACCTTCCGCGCCGGAGAGGGAGGCCAAAGGCGAAAACAGTGGGGGTCTTTTCATCCAATGCTCCAAACCAAACCCCAGAGGACCTGAGAGACCTCTGTGCCCTCTTCCAACCTCCGTGCTTCCCCCACACCCACCCTGGTGTGACCTGGGGACTTGGCAGTGCCTCCCATGGGGCTGGCTCTACAGGCGCCTCCTGATGGAAGCGCACACAGACAGTGCATTTACCCCGAGCTCTCTGGAGGAGGGCCGTGACTCCCAAGCCTACTGCACCCCTGCATGTACGCCCGGACCGACCCCCAGCTCAGGGGTGGGCGGGGCCGGCCTATTCTTCCCTGTGGTGCTATGCCCTGAGACTGGGTGAGTTCACTGCCTTCACTGCCAGTCCAGGTGAGGACCCCTGTCTCAGGAGGTTAGGCCTCTTTGGCCTGACAAGTTCAGGGGTAGCTCCTGCAGGGGAACCCTTGGCCACAGAGGGGCCCCTCAGGATTCTGCAATACCCCTCCCACCCACCTGTACCTCCCCAGGTGGGTCGCTGATATGCTGTGTGACCTTGGACCAGTGGCTGCCTCTCTCTGGGCTTGGTTCCTGGCTGAGGGCTGCCAGGATCAGCCCCCGCCCGCCCAGCCCCGCCTGGCGCTGCCTCTGCCTCTGCCTCTGCCTGGCTCAGCTCCAGACAGCAGGGCAGGGCCGTCACATGCTGAGCCACGTGACAGGCAGCGGCTGGGGGCTCCGTCCCACACAGAGGCCAGGTCTCTGCAGCCTCTTCCCCCTGTTCCGACGGGCTGAAGCCTCCAGGGTCTACCAGAGCAGGTGTGGCCTCCCAGGTAGGCCAGGGGAGCAGGGAGGGTGGGGGCTGTAAGGAGCATCTCCCAGGAGCCAGGTTGGCCCAGAGGCCCCGGCCCAGATCCCAGGCAGACCCAGGGCACCAAGACAGAGGGCGGGCTCAGGTGATGCCCCGAGGGTGTGCTGGCCCCCATGCCTGGAACCTAATCACTTGCCTGTCTGACAGCAGCAGCTGTTGGGGAGCCATCCCCACTCGTGCGGGCTCCACCAGGTGTGGGTGGCGCTGGGGTAAGGCAGAAGACAGGCCCCCCACCACCCACAGCGCAGCTCAGACACCTGGGAGGCGGGCCCACAGGAACCACCTGGGGACACTTACCCTGAGCGCTGTCCTAGAGGGCAGAGGGTGGCGCTCTTCCAAGGGGGGTGGGAGGAGCATCTGGGGATGGACACAGCACCCCCGCTTGGAGCTATAAGCTTCTGGGGTGGGTCCCAGCCCTACACTCACACCCTGTACGATCAAGTCCTGTCCGCTCTTTGGGGCTCTGTTTCCTTATCATAAAATGTCAGGTTGCAGGGTGACAGGCTCTGAGTGGGGGCCACATACGATGCTGCTGATGGAGGCAGACACGTGGAGGGCTAGGCAATGGAGCACACAGTGGGCGTGGGCCGTGGGACTGCATTTCTGGACTCCAGCCACTTTTGGGTCTGAGGAGAAAATGAGCTCAGAGTGCGTGGAGGCAGCAGGGGGGCAGGGCTTTCCCTGCTATTCTGGGCCACCAGGACCCATCGCACACTGTAATTCCCAGGGCCACTGCCCTGGGCTCTCCTATTCCAGCTGGGCCAGGGTCCCTGTTCATCCGGCCTTGGGCAGGACCCCTCAGCTCAGAGCTCCCTAGAGGCCTGCTGTGTGGCCCTGGCCTGGTGCTGTCCCTCTCTGGGCCATCTCTGAGGGAGGTGGTAGTAAGATTTCAGCTTGCAGCCTCCAGCTGGCCCAGAGCCAAGTCAGATGAGAAGCCAGGGCAGCCCCGCCCCAGGGGCCGGCTGAGCCTTGGACATTTCTTAAAGGCAGGGTGCCGGGCAGAGCAGGACAGCCAGGAGGAAGGCCTCCTGGCAGGGCCTCAGGTACGGGGTCCTGGGCGGTGGGTGGCGTAGCAGTGGGGTCAGGGGACTGGCTGGAGGGCTGGCTCAGTGGCTCAGGCTGCTGGCCCCCAGGCAGGCCCGGCCACTCACAGCGGCGGGCACGGAGTGGCTTCGCTCTCAAAGGGCCCCTCCTGCCCAGGGAGAAAGGGGAAGCAGAGGGGACTTCCCTTGTGCGACCTGAGAGGTCAGCAGGGAGAGGGGCCCAGGAGAGGCTGGGGGCTGCCGCTGGCCAGCAGGCGCGCTCGTGCTGTCTGACCCGCTGTGCCGCCTTTCACTGGGGTTACTGCCTATCCTGCCAGGGAGGCAAGAGCCCCCACCCTGGCCCGGCTGACCCAGGAGGGAACACACCCCCATCCCTGGGTTGGTGGGGAGGCTCATGAAGCATCCATGTGGCAACGGTATTTGCAGGGCACTCCAGGCTGGGGTAAGGGTGCACAGAAATGATTCCAGGAGGCCGTGTTCTTGGGAATGGACTCTGCCGGGGCCCGGGAAGGAGGGGCGAGCCAGGCTGCCTGGCCCACGGAGGAGCTGGTCCTGAGTGGAGCCAGCAGCACGGCCTTTGTGCGGTGGGGCGGGGACTGGCTCAGCCCACAAGCCAAAGGTTGGTCCCCAGCTCCCCTGGCCCTTAGGAAGGGAGGAGGCTGCTGTCCAGACCTCAGGGGGAAGATCGTGAAAATTCAGGCAAAGGCCGCATGGAGGGAGGTCAGACTGGGCACCGCGGGTCTTGGGGCCTGAGGGACCTTCAAGATGGGCCCTGTGAGCCCCGCCTTCCAGCAGCCTGATGGGGGCCCCGGGCCCTCAGGCCGCCATGGCTTCCTCCGTCACCTTTGCCAGCCCTACTTCCCTGCCCCTGTGTGGGTCTCTGGTTGATGTCCTTGCCTCCTGGGGGGCAGCCACACTGGGCCCCCACCCCAGGGTATCCTTCTCAAAGCCCCCTCGGCACAGCGGCCCTTCGGGCTGGGCAGCTGTTCAGCACCGCCATCAGTAGGCAGCGGTCGCCGCCGCCCCGAGCACTGTGGGGCCACTGGTGGGTGGAGTGGGCAGAAGCTGGGGCTGCCCCGTCAGCAGGCTCAGCAGCAGGACCTGCCAGGAGGGCGGGGCAGGGGCTCTGTGGTGCTTCGGGCCAGCGGACCCACAGACCACCCGCTCATCCCCTCCACGCCACCGCTCTGGGCCGAAGCTTCCTTCAGGGCCACTGTGCTAAACGCACTCTGTACCCACACCAGGCTCCCATGCGGGCACAGTGCCTGGCACATCGGTGCTGGGTTGGTATTTTTAAAGGAATCCCCAGGCCCTGGGACATCGTTCGTCCTGGACTGAAACAGGCCTGTCCCTTGCCATCATCTAGTGGCTTAGCCACTCCCAGCCACCCACCCTCCTGCAGAAGCGGTGGGTCCAGAAGAGACACAGCTGAGCGGGTGGCTGGAGCCAGGGCCCCCGAGACCTCAGCGGCTTAGCCTGAGGGGGCAAGAAGGCGAAGCAGGACAGGGACTCAGGGACTGTCGGGAATGGCGAGGAGGCCGGGCCGGGGGGCGGGGGCAAACAGCGCGCCTCTCACCCTCGCCAGGCAGCTCCCGACCTCAGCCGCGTGCCACTGCACACCTGGCCCTGGGTGTGCAGATCTGGCTGGCCCAGAGGTGTCCCTTCTCCTGGGGACCCAGGCTGCCCTGCTCCCCACTGAGCCACGGGTAGCGGGTGGGGCATGGGGATGGGTTGCCCTCTGTTCTGGTTTCCTGTGAATTCCGTTTTCCAGTGTGAAGAAGTGGGGTGGCCACGGTCTCCATCTGCCTCAGTGGGAACCACAGTGACCGGGCCAGACTGTTGAAGTGGGTAAATGAGTCATGCAGGGAGTGGGATTCGACATCCTTCTGAACTTATGCAGTGTCAGATGTACCCTGGAGAGGCAGGCTCGGGAGCCCCTGCCCGGCCCAGCCCAATGCAGGAACCCCTCATCTGTGCGTCTTTCATGAGGTCACAGGCCCAGGGTCCCCAGACCCTGGGTGGGAGGCAGCCTTAGCTCCTCTGGATGTCTGGGTTATGCCCAGCATCCTGTGACCCAGTGGCACCCACTGGGGCCCCGGTCCAGCATGAGGGGTCAGGTCCAACCTGCAGGGGTCAGAATTGGGTGAGTTAGCCTCAGTGTTGCTAGGAGAGGCTTGCTGGAATGTTCCATTCAGACCTCCACTCCCACAGAGCTCCCCCAGAGGTGCACCATTCAAGTTACGTGCCTTACATTTTTGTGGCTTCTGTGGACACTCTTATAATAAAAGTGCAAGGACCCTGGGTCAGGGCGGGATGGGTGGTGCGGGAGGGATGGGTGTGTCTGCCCTCTACCCCCATCAGCAGAAGTCTAAAGGCGACAGCAGGACAGAGGGAGGACTGGGAGAGGCAGGAGGGACACAACTGTTTGCTGAGCACTTGGTAAGAGTGACCATGGCTGCCCCTGCAGAGCGCGCGGCCTGCACTATGGCAAATGTCAGGCACAGCATGTCGTTCAGCCCTCGGGACAAGGGAACTGAAGCAGAGAGATAAGATGACTGATTTGACCAGGGCCCAAGGCCAGGTGGCAGCTCTAGAGGCAGGCGGCGGGGAAGCCTGCGGCTGGGGTGACCCTGCTGCCACACTGCCACCCTCTCTGGGGGTGCCTGCCCTGGGCCGGAGGTGACTGCCCAGTTTCTCCCGCTTGGAGCAGAGGCCTGCCTGTGGAGTCAGCTGGGGCCCCACCACCCCTAAGGAACGGCCCAGGGCTCCAGCCAGCTTCTCAGCAGGACGCCTGTCAGGCCGGCTGGCTGAGGCTCAGCCCTCAGGGCCATGGAGCCCTCCAGAAAGCTGAGGACCACCGTGACAGCAGCCACTTAAAACAATAGCTGGTAGCCTTGGGGACCTGAGGCCCGGGGCCCAGAACTGGACAGCATGGTCTCATCCTTGATAAACACCATGTCAGCTGGTGGGTGCTGTCATCATCCCCCTAGAAGAGGAGGAGACTGGGGCACTAAGACCCAAGTGATGAGTTAAGTAGGCAGAGGGAGGCCTGCCTCCCAGTCCGGTGGGTGGGAAAGGGGAGTGGAGGACAAGGGGAGGGCTGGGGTGGTGGACAGGATGAAACCAGGTATTTGTCACATGGTATGCTCCAGTGTGGCGGGCAGCAGAGACCAGGGGCCACTGTGAGTGTGAGAGAGTAATCAGGCAGGCTTCCTGGAGGAGGCATCAGCCAAGCTGAGCCCTGAAGGAAACGGAGTAAGAGAGGGCAGGAGAACGGTCCCCTGGGTCCTTGGCACCAGACCAAGGAGTGATTGCATCACAGTACTCCTGTGATGAGCTTCAAGTAGACAGGCAGGGGCCTGAGGGAATGTCAGGGCCCCTACCCCGCTTGCCAGCCCTGGCTGATAACAGCAAGGAAATATGGCTGCCCCTCAGCCCTTGCCCCCTACTGCTCCCCGCTCCTTCAGCACTGTGGTGGGAGCAGGGCCTCTGGGAGGCCTGGGTCTCCTTAAGCCAGGGAGGGGAGGCCACTGCCCACAGTCACACAGCTCTCAGAGCCACCCCCAGCTAGCCTAGCCTCCCTGGGCAGTGTCCCCAGGCTGCAGGCTGTGGGTGCACAGAGCATTCTGTGTCTGGAACGTCCCAAAGTGGTAGCCGCAGTGGCAGTTGGTAAATTTTCTATTTACCAGACTCCTCCCAGTTACTCCGCTCAGGCCTGGCAGGCGTGAGGGCTGCTCCATCTCCAGGAGGGGCATGACAGCAGGAGAGGGGTCATGGATTGGGGCTAGTTTCTGTGTGGCAGGAAGAAGTGTGGTCCCCTGGCTGCCTCCCAACCCTTAGGGGCTGTGAGTAGCTGTCCCTGAGCCCACGCCCATGTGGGCAGCAGCCCAGGACCCCCTGCCCACTGGCCGAGGGGAATGGTGTGTGTGTGTGTATGTGTCTGCGGCAGTGGGTGGTGTGTATGGAGGCAGGGGCAGCCTTGGCCCTCTGGGGTTATGCGTGAGTCCCTGTGGGGTGTCTGTGAGCCACATGGATGCAGGCAGGTGCAGGTGGGGAGCCTGTAAGGGTGGGGGGCCCCAGCCCACACCGCCCCCACCCGGCAGGATGGACCCCTTCGTGGACACACTGCAGCGGCTGCGGGAGACCTTCAGCACCGGGCGGACGAGGCCAGCTGAGTTCCGGGCTGCCCAGCTCCGGGGCCTGGACCGCTTCCTGCAGGACAACAGGCAGCTTCTGCAGGAGGCGCTGGCGCAGGACCTGGGCAAGGTGGGCTGGGAGGCTGGGCGGGCAGGCTGGCAGAGGCAGCTGGAGGGTGCAACTAACAGCCCCTCAAGTCTGCTACCTTCCCTACGCCCCAACCCCACCTTCTGCATTTGCCCATTCATTCATTTCTTAGTTCACTTGATAACTACTTATTGAACACCTACTATGCACCAGGCATACTGTTCCAGGGGACACAACAGATAATAAAACACAGGCCCTGTGCCCAGGGAGCTGGCCTTCTGGGGAGAGACACAGCCGACAGTAAATAAGTAATTAGGTAGCACGCTGGATGGCAGTGAGTGTCCCGGGGAGGCCCTCCCAGTGCGAGCGGGGGAGAGGGGAGGCAGCATTGGGGCAGAGACGAAGGAGGAAGGGGAAGGAGCCACGTGGACATCGGGAAAATGGAGATGGGCACAGCAAGTGCAAAGGCCCTGAGGAGGAGGTGGTGGTGTGTTTGTGCCTGAGCATGGCTGCAGGGGCAGAGAGACACAGAAGAGAGGCCCAGGGGGGTGGAGGCCACGGAGGACCTGGGCTTCCGTCAGAGCAGCGGGCGCCATGGCCTCGGTCTAAACCCAGAGGCCTGGGGGCACAGCCTCCCCCAATTCCAGCAGCGGCCACACGGCAGGACCCCAAGAAATGCTCTTCTCTGTGGGCAGCCTCCCCTCATTTCTGCCAATAGGGTGCCCTCCACCCCCACCACTGCTTGGCTGCCCTGGGGGTTCTTCTCTGGACAAAATGTCCCCTGCACTTGCTGCAAAGGCCACAATGTCCAGACTCATGCCTGGTGCCTCACGGTCCCTCGCCACCGGCTCCTTGTCAACGGGTAGGGTGCGTAACACCTGGGCTGGCCCATGACGCCTGCCGGCAGCTGGCCGGTTCCTGTAGTCACCTCCTGCCGCCAGGGACCTCAGCACCCCACGCTGGCTTGCGCTGAGCTCATCTTCGCCCCAAGCCCTGGGTACACCCCTGGAAGGGCCTGGGGTCTCCTGAGCCCTCCTTGTGAGGGGACCCTACATTGACCCCTGGGGTCAATTATACTGATTACATCACTGCCCTCCTCCACCCCCTCCCCAGCCCTTCCCCGGGGCCTGCTGACTCCACCCTGGCCCAGATAGAGAGGTGGACCCCCGCAGGCCGGCCTCCCCACCGCAGCCTCCGTGGGGCCCGTCCGACTCCCAGCCGCACTGTCCTGAGAGCTGGCACGGACTTCCCGGCTCTCGGGTCATGGTGTCGGCGGTCATGGATCAGAGGCCCTGCCCCAAGGGGACAGCAGTGGGTGGCCACAGGACTTGTCTGAACATGTGGCCTCCTGGTGATGCCTGCCCCCTGTCTTGGTGTCCCCATACATTGTTTACCACGGTGCTCCAGGACTCCCTCATCAGCCATTTCTGGAGTTGTGTTTTTCCAGAAATTTATGCAGCCTGGGTGCCAGAGCCCTCGGCTCGCTTGCCCCCAAGGGGATGGCATGGGGCATGCCCCATTCACTGTGTCTGGCCCAGGACGAGGGGCTCCGTCCCCACCCGCAGCCCACGGGGCTCCCTGTAGACAGGACCCTGCACTGAGCCTCTGCCAGCACCCACCTGCGGGCCCGCCACCACCTCCGGGGAACCTGACCTGACCCTATCCAGTGCCTTTCTCCCTTGGGTTCAGGTTTCACGTCCCACCTCCCACCCAGAAAGGGGGCTCCAGTGGGTGCCTCCCCCTGGGCTGGACCACCTGGCCCTGCCATTCCTGCAGGAACCCTCCCACTTACTCCGACAGCCCTTCCAGATAGGGGCAGTCACCCCAGAAACCCCCAGGTAGGCTCAGAAAGGGCATATTCTGGCCTAAGGGTACATAGCCCTTTCCCCTCCTGAACTCAGGGTGTTCCGCTGGGTCCAGACGGTCTGTAAATCCACCCACACCTCACTCGGGTCTTGGGGCTCCTCACTGGGCGGGACTCAGATGCAGGCGAAGGCACACCGGGACCAGGCTCAGGTCTTTTCAGCACCAGGGGGTGTGGGCGGGAACTCAGGGTGTTCCGCTGGGTCCAGACGGTCTGTAAATCCACCCACACCTCACTCGGGTCTTGGGGCTCCTCACTGGGCGGGACTCAGATGCAGGCGAAGGCACACCGGGACCAGGCTCAGGTCTTTTCAGCACCAGGGGGTGTGGGCGGGTGGGAGGAGTGGGGGGTGGCTTCTTTGCCCGAGGTGCCAGCGCTCTCTCAAGGCTCAGCTCTGGCCCTGGCCTTGGTACTGGCCTGCTGAGAGAACCTGGCAGGCTTCTATTCCCCCTGTGGACCATCCTGGCACCCCTCAGGCCCATGGTGCTCTCCTCTGGCAGGAGGCGCCGTGCCCCACAGTGGCCGGATGCCAGGTAGCAGGAAAGCCCACCTCCGGTGCCCTTGCTGGGGGCCTCCAGCTGCCTGCGGCCCGCAGGCCCAGCTTCCCCCTGCGTGCAGTGGGGCAGGCACACCAGGGGCGGACAGCAGCACAACATCTCTATCAATTTGTGCCTCCTCCGCACTCCTGCCCTGGCAATCTGCTCTGGCCCCTGAGCTGTGGGAACCGGGGGCACTTACACAGGGAGGCCTGTCCCCAGTCACCCCTGCAGACTGGTATCCACAGAGTGGGCCACACAGGCAATGCTGTTAAAACTAGTTAGATCTTGTCTCTGCTCTGCTTGACAGGGCCCACCCCAGCTGCGTGGCCCCATCACCTCACCCACTCTGCATCTCGCTAATCAGAAACATGCTCCAATGTCACCTCGCCCAGAGGCCGGCATGGGACATCTGGCATAAAATCAAGCAGACACACACATACACGTACACACTCATGCGAGCTCTCATGCTTTCATGCACACTGGTGCACATACACGCCCAGCAGTCTCTGTTCCCCTGACCTGCTTTATCTTTGCATTGCGCTTGCCACATCCTGAGCTGTTTCCATTGTCATGGAGACTGTTCCCCTACAACCTCAGCTCCGAGGGGGAGGTTTTCTGTCTCTTAGCCACTGGCACAAGAAAAGCACCTGAGTGATGTACACTCTTCACACACGGAGAGGGTGAACAAATGAATGAATGAATGAATGAGAAAATAAGAGCAAGCCTTGCCTGACAGAGGCCCTGCCAGGGCTCTAGCCACCTGCCAATCCTGGTGCTCCCTCCCCTGCAGCCAGCCTTCGAGTCTGAGGTGTCTGAGATTGGCATCTGCCACAGTGAGATAAACTTGGCGCTCAGGAACCTTCAGGCCTGGATGAAAGATGAGAAAGTGGCCAAGAACCTGGTGAGCAGGGCTGGGGACAGGTGGGCAGGCCGCCTCTCCAGGCGGTTGTGGGCCGAGGGGCTGGGGGTCTTGGTGCCTCACCACTCCCCGTGCCGGCCCAGGCCACGCAGCTGGACTCAGCCTTCATCCGAAAGGAGCCCTTCGGCCTGGTGCTCATCATTGCCCCCTGGAACTACCCCGTGAACCTGACCCTGGTGCCCCTGGTGGGCGCCCTCGCTGCAGGTAAGTGCAGAGCAGTCTCCTTCAGGGGCTGGGGGACCCCTCCTTCCAGCTGCTTAGCCACCCACAGTGCCAGTGGGGAGGGGGAGCTGGCCCCAGGCGGCTAAGAAAACTGGTCTCCACCTGGCCCACCCTGCATGCGCTGTGGGGCCGTAGGCCCCAGGCTCCCTCTCTGAGCTGGATTCTCACCTGCAAGGAGAGTGAGGCTGGCACCTGCTCTGCAGCCGTGAGGACTGAATGGCAGCTCTCTCCCTGCCCTACCCCGCCCTCCAGGGAACTGTGTGGCACTGAAGCCGTCTGAGATCAGCAAGAGCGCCGAGAGGGTCCTGGCTGAGGTGCTGCCTCGGTACCTGGACCAGGTGCGTGGGAGCAGATACAGGCAGCTGAGCTGAGCGCGGCAGGGCCCTGCGGGCGGGCAACCCTGGCCCTGGCCCGTCCGGCAAGCCTGGGGTTCCAACCTCCATCCTGCCTCGTCTGGGTTGTGCGGCTGTGACCGGGTCAGCCTCCCCTCAGCCTGTTTCCCTCTGAGTGGAACAGCGGGGTCGCAGTCACAGATGCACTCTGAGGAGCCTGTCCCCCAGGGATTCCTGTCTGTCTTCTGGTGGCCCTGCTTGCCCAGCCCCAGTCTCAGCACCCCCAACCCTGACGGGCCCCAACCTTGCACCAGTTGGCTGGGCCTAGCAGTGCCCGGCATCCCTGGGAAGCTCTCTGCTCCCTACCTCACCCCTAGACCAGGGGAGGGGGGAGGGGCCCCAGGCAGACCCCCACCAGGCCCCCTGAGCCCCCCATCCTTGCAGAGCTGCTTCGCCGTGATGCTGGGTGGGCCCCAGGAGACGGGGCAGCTGCTGGAGCACAAGTTCGACTACATCTTCTTCACAGGTGAGAGCCTGCTGCGCGTGGCTGGGCTGGGGGCAGGAACAGCAGGACGGGGGGCCCGAGCCACCTCCCCTCAGGGGTCTCGTCCCTAACCCTGAGAAGGGCCACACGGGCCAAGGCTGCCAGCTGAGGACACAGACCCGGGAGCACCGGCCAGTGCCCCTGGGCTCCAGGACCAGCTTGCTGCTCTCTCTTCTCAAGCAGGCCAGGGAGCAGCTCTGGGCCCCCAGGGACCCTCAGGATGGCTGGGTCCCATCCCTGGGCAGGGAACCCTCCACCGACCCCAACCCCACGCATCACAGCATCTGCCCTTGCTGAGCTCCCACTGCCCCCATGGCCTGCCCCGCACCCCCACTGGCCCCACGTCCCTTCTGGAGGGCAGGTGAGACCCGGGAGGTGGGATGAGCCAGCAGTGCGCTTAGAGCCCAGGGTCAGGAGGCAAGGCTGTCAGGTTAGGCCGCAGAGAGGAGAGCCCCAAATGTCGGCCAGCTGGGGCTGGACTCTGCCTTGGGCGATGGGAGTCAGTGAAGATTCCAGAGGAGAATGGAGAGTCAGGCAGGGGTGCAGGGTGGCACGTCAAGAGTGACCTGCAGAGGTGAGGACAGCATCGGAAGCAGGGAGGCAGGGTGGGAGGTGGGCCAGGGGCTGCGGGGCTCCCAGGTTTCTAACCGGGCGGGCCAGAGGGGAGCGGGGCCTGCCGGGCTGCCACCGAGTGCAGACGTCTGCCGAGACCTGCAGTGTTTGGGGCTGGTTTGCAGACCTGAGCAAGGTCCTGATGCAGGCAGGCAGGGGAAGGCCAGTGAGGGCTGGCACCCCCACTCTCCAAGGAGGTGCAGGGCAGGGTGTGAGCCCCCTTGAGGGGTCCCAGGCCCCAGGCGGAGGCCATCCCCCTGGTGGAAGTGATTGAGGGCCACTCTGGTTTCTGTCCACAACCAGGGAGTTCTCAAGTGGGCAGGATTGTCATGGCTGCAGCCGCCAAGCACCTGACGCCCGTCACGCTGGAGCTGGGGGGCAAGAACCCCTGCTATGTGGATGACAACTGCAACCCCCAGACTGTGGCCAACCGTGTGGCCTGGTCCCGGTACTTCAACACTGGCCAGACCTGCGTGGCCCCCGACTATGTCCTGTGCAGCCCCGAAATGCAGGAGCGGCTGCTGCCTGCCCTGCAGAATGCCATCACCATGTTCTATGGCGAAGAACCCCGGGTGTCCCCGAACCTGGGCCGCATCATCAGCCAGAAGCATTTCCAGCGGCTCCAGAGCCTGCTGGGCTCTGGCCGTGTGGCCATCGGCGGCCAGACTGACGAGAGTGACCGCTACATCGGTGGGTCCCGCCTCCCGCTATGCACACCCAGGGCCCAGTCTGGAACCCTGGCCCTGAGGCTCCCGTGACTCCGCTACTAGAACCCAGCTTGGTCCACGGCTCTGGTGCCACATCCCAATGGTGTTGGGGCTCCAAGTCACCATGTCTGAGCCTAAGACCCCACAACTCCCAGCTCCGGAGCCTCTTAGCTCTGACTCCTGCTCCAGGGCTCCTGAGCAGGCAGATCCCAAACTCCCGCCCCATGATCTGCTGTCCCACAGCACCATGCCCCCCGGTCCTGAACCCACGACCGCCGGGTTCTAAACTCCAACAGCTGGTCCTGAGCATCGCCATGCGGTGCTTGCAGAGCGGCCCATCTCCCGGCCTCTGCAGCTCAGCAGTCACACCGCTGCTCTCACAGGCTGGGACTTGGGACTCCACTGGTCTGCGATCCCATCCCAACCCCCAGCAGGTTGGGGGGTACTCTGGGCCCCTCAGGCTCTGGTCGTGCCGGGGAATGCCCCACGGTCACTTCTTGGGGGCCGTGGGGAACTCTCTCCCCTAGACTGTCCCTGAGCCTTGCCCGAGGCCCCATCCCAGGCCTGAGCCATCCCCTGTGCCCGGGCAGCCCCCACAGTGCTGGTGGATGTGCGGGAGACGGACCCGGTGATGCAGGAGGAGGTCTTCGGGCCCATCCTGCCCATCCTGAACGTGAGGGGCCTGGACGAGGCCATGAGCTTCATCAACCGTCGGGAGAAGCCCCTGGCCCTGTACGCCTTCTCCAACAGCAAGCAGGTGGGCCTAAGGCAGGGCAGGCGGGCAGGGGGCAGCAGTGCACGGACGGGGTGGTGGCAGCCACGCGGGAGGTGGCCCCAGGACGAGTGGATCCTGGGGCCTGGCGGGACGGTAGGGGGTCCTGGCCCTTCTGGGGCAGCCACAGTTCCGGGTGGTGGCACTCTGGGCTCTGCTCCTGCCCTTTCCCCTGGGAGCAGCCGGGCCTCCTCCCCCCTCTATCCTAGGCGGCATTCTCCTGGGTCCTCAGTGGGCAGCTCCCCGGGGACTCCTCCAGGGCCGAGAGTACCCTCGTGGTCAGCCCCCAACTGTCATCCTCATCACCTGGGTCTGGTGGTCTCATTGCCCCCTTTCAGTGCCTGGCTGGTGGAAGGCACGCACAACACGGGGTGGGATGCAGAGCACACAGGCCTCAAGAGCCCTGGTGCCCTGCCCTCTGCCTCCGGCCCCATCCTGTTCATGCTCTGGGGGCAGCCTGGGCGCCTCAAGGGCACATGGGCAGTGGTTTCAGCTCAGGACGCACCTGCCCCACTTACTCGGCTCTCAGGAGATCCCTCACAGGCTGGACAATGTTTTTATAAACTTTTAATCTTGCAATAATTTTAGATTTACAGAAAAGTTGCAAAGATAGTCCAGGGAGTTCTCATATACCTGCACCCAGTCCCTCCCATTTAAGGGCCCTTGGGGTTGGTCAAAACTAAGAAACTGACATTGGCACATTACTGCTAATGTCACTCTAGACCCGATCCAGTTTTCCTTTCTGCCCCAGGATCTGAGGAAGAGTCCTAGGCTGCGTTTAGTTGTCATGGCTTCTCCGGCCTGTAGCCATCTCTCAGCTTGAGGAACACCAGCCAGGTCTCCTGCGGTGTGTCTCCAGTCTGTTGTTTTTCTCAGGGAAGAATACCACAGAGGAAGGGCTGGTCTCCGGCCCCGTATCAGAGGCACACGAGATCCGCACACCACTGGGGAGGCCGGCCCCCGTCACTCGGCCCAGGCTGTGTCTGCCACAGCTGCCCACTGAGGGGTGACTGTTTTTCCCTTTCCTTATTCTAGTCTTTGGGAGCGCGTCCCTGGGTCTAACCCATCTTCAATGGGAGGGATGTTTTAAAGCTCCACCTGCTGAAGGGGCAATATCTACATATATCACCTAGCCTCCATATGAGAGATTTGGCTCTTGAATCACTTCCTGCTACCAGCATGGAAGCATGTGCATCTGCATTATTCTCGGGGCTACAATCCTATACCCGCTATTTGCTTCCTGGCTCAAGTTGCCCCAGCCTCGGGCTCTGGGTGCTGCTGTGCGGCTGAGACCTGCCCATCTCTCTGTTTTCTCACCACTTCCTTCCTTTCGGTCAGTGAGATGCTTCAGGCTCATCCTGGGAGCTTCCCCACCCAGCCCAAGAACCAGCCATCGCTCCAAGGAGCCCTGGTTTGTCTGGACAACGTTAACTTTAGAAAATGGCCCCCACGGTTCCCAGAATGCATGTGTGGCCACATGGAAGACATGTGTCTCGCCCCGTGTGACTCGCCCTTACTCCGTGCAAGCACAGCTGGTGCCTCCTAGTCTATCTTCTGTTGTCCTGTTACTGCTGGTCTCAACGTGATTCTGGGCCACTAATGGGGGCTCTACTCTGCCCACCATTAGGCAAGGTGCTATCCGAGAGCCACACATTGTAAAAGCCAAGTTTTTGTGCAAGTATTTAGTGTCTCATCTTTTTTCCATCTCATTCTTCAAATAAACCTATAGACTGAAGCATAAAGGCTTCAGTAAGTCAAGCAAGGGCCAAGCTAATGTTTCTAAAACACAAATCTGATGTCACCATCACGGCCTCCCATGCAGCACACCACCCAGGCCACCACCTCGTTTCCACACCTGCCCTCCGCTCTGCCTGGGGCCCTTTCAGGTCTCTGCCAGGTGACTCCTGACCCCCCCTTGAGACTCAGCAGGCACACTGCAGCCCTCCCCTGGGCTGCTTCCCTGACTACGGGCACCTCACCCTGCACTCTCCACGTCCCCAGGTGACCACGTCTCCTGCCTCCCTCTCAGCCCTGAGTCTGTGTCCCCAGCACCCTGCTCAGGCCACACATGAGCAGATGCTCAGGAAACACATCCCAAGTTGGGGTCTCAACCATGCTACACAGCCATGCCCCCCAGCTGTCTCCTTCCACAGGGCCAGGCAGCCTCACTGCTGTTTCTCTCCAGGTGGTCAAGCAAGTGCTGGCCTGGACCAGCAGCGGGGGCTTCTGTGGGAACGATGGCTTCATGCACATGACCCTCGCCAGCCTGCCTTTCGGAGGAGTGGGTAGGTGACAGCAGAGCCCCTTTCTTTTACTGTTACTTGACTGAATGGCACCCCAACATTCATATCCTGCTTCCCTCTGCCCAGTCTGGAGTGGAACCTTCCAGACCTGCCTCCGCATTTACACATGTCGATCAGCCAGCAGATCTGCAGTTTAGGGTTTGTTTTCTAATATCGCTGTGATCGCCTTGTACCAGCTGCCGCTGCCTTTCTCCTTGAGCACACAGGGCACCCTTGGGTGTTCTTTCCATGGTGAGGCTGCATCTGCTCTTTTAACCCTCCATGCCACCTCGGTCCAACAACTGGCATGTCACCACCCTGGAGACGGGCTGTTGCTGGCTCCCCCAACCCTGAGGGAGGCCTGGGTGAGTGGGGCCCACCCCCCAGCCCCAGCAGCCCGTTACCATTGCAAAGTCCTGGCCTCCGAGGCCGGAAACCTCAGGGCTGGATCCAGCAAGCCCGACGGCTGTATGATCGGGGGCGGCCACAGCCCCTCTCTGAGCCTATCTCCTCCACAGTGGAATGGAAGGGCCAGAGACTTGAGGTCACTCCACCTGTCCATACTCAGCACCAGCATAAACAACCAGCAGGGCCTGGCAAGCTGCCCTGGTGGGCCTGGACCTTCCCTGGTGCCACAGGAGCACGGGGTGGGCTGAGGGCTAAACCGTGGCAGGGCAGGACCCCCACAGCACGGCACTGCTGCCATCCCGGTTCTGGAACCTCCTCCCCCTGGCTCACCTGGCTGCCCTGTGTCCAGCCTCAGCTCCTCCTTCTCAGGGAAGCATCCGAGTCTGTGGACAAATCTGATCCTGCTACTCCCCTGACAAGAACCCCCCAGGCTCCCAGCCCTTCCTGGTCTGGCTGTGGGGTCGTGCTTGGGCCTCTTCGCCCTACTTTCCTGTCTGCTACGCCAGCCACACTGACCCCTGCCCAAGCCCCTATATGCCACAAGTTGCCCACTTCCAAGGCTGTGCTCACCAAGCCTGGGTTTCTCTTGCCACTACCACCCTCTTCATCTGGTCAATTCCACATCTCTCAGGCTTCACTCACTCCAGGAAGCCCTCCCTGATTACCCCCAACTCCACCCAGGCTGGGTCCACCGGACTTACAGTGCATGAGCTGCCTGGTCCTTGGCTGCCTCCCTACCTAGTGCTGCAGACTTCTAACAATGCAGTACTCACTGTGTCCACGGGCCTGGGCACTCATCCAATCCCCACCAGGAGGTGGGTGCCACAGTTACCCCGTGTCACATTGGAGGATACCAAGACCAAGTCACTTGCCCCCAGTGACACAGCTCTCAGAGCTGGGATTCAACTGCGGGCAGGGGCTACAGAATCACACTCTACCTATCTTGCCCCAGCACCTGGTGTCCCCACCATTAGCTGAGCTGGTGCTGGTGCCAGGCTGAGGCTAAGCCCTTTGCCCACAGCGGTTCATGCTCACTGATTTTACAGATGGGGAAGGAGGGGTGAGGGAGTTTTTTCATGCGAGGGGTGAGGGAGTTTTTTCATGCTCACTGATTTTACAGGCCTGGAGGGGTGGGGGAGCCCATGAAGGTCCTGCTGCGTGACTAGCAGAGCTCAGGTCTGTCCGGCGTCCCCTCAGCTGGCCACTGAAGGCCTGACCACCATGTTCCATGCCACCATATAGGTGCCAGCGGGATGGGCAGCTACCATGGCAAGTTCTCCTTCGATACCTTCTCCCACCACCGCGCCTGTGTGCTGCGCCAGCCCGGGATGGAAAAGATCTATGCTATCCGCTACCCACCCTACTCACCTCGCAAACTAAGGATGCTGCTGGTGGCCATGAGGACCCGCAGCTGCTGCTGCACCCTGCTCTGAGCCCTCCTCGGGCACCGGGGCACTGAGTGACCCCCCTGGCTCACACCTCAGTCATCCGCCACCACCATCCGCAGCCGGTGCAGATGCGGCCTGGGGTCCACGATACGACGAGTCAAAGACCCTCCAAGGCTACAGCCCAGCCAGCCCTGGCCCTCCTCCCTCCCGGGGCTCCTCTTTCTGGGCCCCCGGCCTCCTCCCTCAGCTGCCCCCCAAATGGGACAGGCCAAGAGGAGGGCACACGGCAAACTGCGCAGTAGCCTGCCCTCACCCCCCATGCTAAGCCGCCGGTGTCCTGGGGAGGAGGGCAGATGTGCGCACCTCCGAGCCACCCCCACCTTGTGGAGGGTGCAGAAGAAGCCGTGGCATCTGGCCCAGGTCACACAGTGGACCTGCTGTGCCCGGGCCATCCCTGCCCTCTCTGAACCTGTTTCCCTACCTGCACAGCAGACATAATTAATCATCGGGGCCTCCTGAGATTATTGTTAGGATTAAATCTGGGAGCTCAATACATATGATTTGTCGACCCCAAGCTCGAGATGTCCTGTCTCCTCACCGGGGTGGCGTGAGGCTGTATTCCTTTCTCTCCCTGCTCCTCTCCCTCTCAGTCAGGCTGATGAGACGCCTGCAGCCGGATCTCCCTTCCCTCCAGCTCAGGCCTCTCAGGGGCTCTGACACACGCCTGTGCCCCAAGTGGCTGGTCTTGGGCGCCTTCCCCTCACCACGGTCCCACTAGACCCATCCACTTCCCTGTCCTGCTCATCCTCCCCAGCCCTGGCACCACGAACAGTCCCCAACTGTTCGGCCACCAAAGGCAAAGCCCTGCTCACCTCCCAAGTCCCACCTGATGATTCTAGAACACTGCAGAACATGCCCAATCCACACACTACTGGCCATGCCCAGGGCCAGCTGTCACCTCTCCTGCCCTGCAGGACTAGCCCTCCTCCACGCCCCCGCTGACGTTCCTAAAGCTCACCGGACTGCGCCACCCCACCCCTCCGCCTGAAACCCTTCAGGGGCTCCCTGCGGCCACAAGCCTGGATCTGTAACAGTCCTGGGGAGGCTCGGTCGGAGCCCCGCGCCCCCACATTCAGCCTGTCCTTGTCCTCTTCTAAGGCACATGGAGTGTCCTCGGCGTGGACACCGCTCCTCCAGGGAGCCTTCCCTAACCACCTCCCACTGTCCCACACCTCCGGGGGCCTTCCCAGTGCCTGCGGCCTCTGGGGTCCCTCTGCCACACGATTCACTAGGAGGAAATAACGTTTGGCGGCTGTTGAATGTCGGGGTTCTCAGGTCATGCAGACCCTGATGCAATCCAGGCCGCCGCACTTCGCAGGTATACGGCTTGGGCCAAGTTACAAGTCTGTGCCTCAGTTTTCCCACCTGTAAAGCGACACTAATCGGTCCTCCACACAGGACGGCTGTGAGGGTTAAGTGAAGCCGCCTGGGTAAAGGTTTAGCACAGAGCAGGCACGGCTCCCGCGCGTCATCACTGCCTCCTACGACTCTCGTCACCGCGAGGACAGGAGACGCCCGACGAAGTCGGGAGCGTCGCGTCCCCCTCCCGCCCCGGTGCCGGGTGTAAGCCTCGCCCCGGATGACCCCCTTCAGGGACGAGAGTTCTCGCTTATTGGCCTCCAATCAAACATGGCGGCACTCTACGTGACTTCAAGCAATTGCTCCCCCCTAGCCAATCAGAGAGAAGGTGCCTCGATCCCACCTTTTTTTCCTGCGCCACTGGCCAATCAGAACACATCACAAAGGGTCAGCGCGAAACAGACGAAGCCAATCGGCCCAATGGCAACTGCCCCGGAGTGTAGGCTCCGCCTCTCGGCGCGCCGCTCGGCAGGGGAAGAAGCCACAGCACTTTGAGGTGGGTATCCGGGAGTTGGCTGTAGAGGCCGGGTCTGGGCAGCGCGGCACTGGGGACGAATGTGGTGGCCCCGTCGGTCCCTCCGGCTCTGCGCCCGGGCTTCATCGCGGCCCGCTCAGGACCCACGGTTCGGGTGTCCTTCAGCTTGCAGCGGGCTGACCGGGGAGCCGGCGGCCTCGGCGCATGCCTGCCTGCATCCGTGGGGTCAGAGGTCAAGAGGAAGGTCCCGGGTTGGGCGCAGTAGGTCGCTGGGCATGTACAATTCCCTTCTTTTTCGTGACTCCTCATTTCACGGATGAGAAAACAGGCCAGGTGACCTCATCTGCCCAAGGCCACTCCTCAAACTGGGAGACAGGTCCAGAAGGGCCTTGATGTTGGGAAAATGAATTTGATCTTGAGGGTTAGTTGAGCCTGTGAGTGTAAAGGGAGGGGTGTGGCCTAATTTTGAATCCTGGGTCCACCCTCCTAGTGTGTGACTTTGGGCGAGACACTTAACATCACTGAGTTGCAACTTCTCATCTGTACCCCCCTGGTGGGGTCCTTTGTAAGGACAAAATAACAGGGCATGTGGCCCCTAGTGTGGTACCTTGTGCTGTGAGCTCTCCACAAATGCTGGTGGCTGCTGGCTATGTTATTTGGGTCAGATGTGGAGAAGCACAGTGGACAGGAGAGATGGGAGACAGGAGCACCGGTGGGATGATTTTAAAGACTGCATAGAAGGTGAGGTAGATGGAACTTGGGGCCCACAGATACTCCACAATTTGACCAGTGGAGCTGGGTCAAATTGGAGGGCTGCAAGGTGCTGCACCTGGGACCAGGAAGGCCATCTCTGCCTCTGACAGGAATGGGGTTAAGTAGGGGACAAGACGACACAGGGTCCCTGCGGTCAAGAGTTAGGGCTCCTGCAGTGCCAGAATTCCTGGGGGAACAGGTCTGTGACCCACCCATGCCCCCTGTCTTTTCATGTCTGCAGATGCACTGCCTGACTGCAGGCACGCTGCTGCGGGCCCTGGCCCAGGCTGCACGTGCAGGTAGGAGCAGGGGGGCCTTTCCTGGGTGTGGGGGAGCCCAGTCTCCCAGCATGAGCTTACAGCTGCACAGCTTAAGCCCCCTTCTTGCAGGGCCTCCCAGTGGCCGGAGCCTCCACAGCAGCGCAGTGGCAGCCACTTACAGTGAGTCCCGGGGAGCCTGGAGCCTCAGGCTTTCCTGTGCACGATCCTGACAGGGGCAGGGGAGAAGGTCTGGGTTCTCTTTCGGAGTCTCAGTTGCCATTTTGTAAAATGACGATGATGATCAAGATTGAATATGAATCATGGGGCAGAGTCTGTCGCTGCAGGAGGAGGGGGACCTTCCCTGTGGCCACACAGTGTGATCTCAGAGCCTCCCTGCGTGGGGTGGGGAGGGATCTGCCAGGTGTGAGCCTTTGGGGCCTGGGCCTCTTCTCCAGGACCCCAATGCCTGAGCCTTTCACAACACCCTCAGCTGGGCTCAGACAGCTGCGCAGGCACAGGGAGAGGCAGGCAGGGACTACCCAGGGCCAGAGGCTGCCTCATGGGTGCTTGCTGAGGTGGCAAAGGTTGGAGAATGAACAGGCCCCGGGGGGACCCGGCTATTGCACCTGCAAGGAGGTCTAGGCCTCATCTCCCTAAGCTGGATTCCTGGGGGTTGGGCATGTGAGGCTGGTGAGGCTGCCTCCACGGCCTCTCTGCCCACCTCCCCTGCAGAGTATGTGAACTTTCGGGAGCCCTCGATGGACATGAAGTCAGTGACTGACCGGGCAGCACAGACCCTGCTGTGGACCGAGCTCATCCGAGGTGGGTCCTGGGGGGAGGGCTGGGGAGCTGGTGGGGCACAGATTGTTGGGGAGGAGGGGCCCCCACCCACCGTGCCCATGCTGCCCACAGGCCTGGGCATGACCCTGAGCTACCTGTTCCGGGAGCCGGCCACCATCAACTACCCGTTTGAGAAAGGCCCGCTGAGCCCGCGCTTCCGCGGGGAGCATGCGCTGCGCCGCTACCCGTCTGGGGAGGAGCGCTGCATCGCCTGCAAGCTCTGTGAGGCTGTCTGCCCCGCGCAGGTGAGCCCCGCCCCCAGCTAACTGCCACCCTGGCCCCTGCACCCGGGAGACGAGGCCGTAGCCTGCTGCCGAGAGAGGGAAGCAGGGCAGCCCTGGGCCCAAACTCTGCCCCCCACTGCGGGGCGTGTGTCCCTAGGAAAGGCCCTAGCCCTCTTCAGGCCGCCTCCCCCCCTGTGAATGGGAATGGTGCGGCCTGTTTCCGGGGTCAACAGTCATCGGAGTCAAGTTTCCAGCGCTGAGCAGGCCACGTGACACACGTGAGTCCTGCCCTTGGGGGCCTGCTCAGGGGCGTGGAACCCAGGCCTGTGTGCTTGTCCCAGTGCCAGACCTTGGGCACACACTGCAGCAGGGCTCTTGCTGCCCCGCGTGCTGCTCCTGAGCCCCTGCCATTCGGTTCTGTCAGTGTCCTGCTCGGACGGCCCGGAGCGGAGCCTGTTAGCGCAGAAACAGAAAGACGCCACTGGGGGGCACTCTGGCAGACCTGTCCTGGCAGGAGCCCCCCAGACACCGTGGTTGCTGTCCACACAGCAAGCCCCTCCCAGCAGCCACTCCAGGCCAGAAGTCTGTGACCCAGGCCGGCTCCTTTGAGTCCTAGCTTGTCTGCTGGATCACTCCTGGGTCCTCTCGGCCGTGGAGCACACAGGGGAGGCCCAGAATGACAGTGAGAATGATGGCTTCAGGCAGTGGGCACTGTCCATGGAGCGGGCACTGAGCCACCTCATGACTTACCTCGACAGCAGCTGCAGGAGGTGGAGGGCATCCCCTTTTCTTGGATGAGGAAATTGAGGCACAAGGAGATGAGGCTGCTAGCCCAAGGTCCCACCGTGAGTGATGGGCGTTATTACTGTCCACACCCGAGTGGAAGTCCTCCAGGCTCCTGGAGGCCCCAGGCCACCCCTTCCCCAGCTGACACAGGCTCTACCAGGAAGTGAGACTTAAGGACCTGCCTTTGAGTCTGGGCTCTGTCCCTCACTTGCTGTGTGGCTTTGGGAAGCTTTTCAGCCTTTCTGAGCCTTGGTTTTATCATCCATTAAATGGGGCTAACGACACAAATGGGAGGATTATTCAACATAGACCAACAGTCACTGAGCACCTCACGGCCACAGGTGCTGCAGTGACACAAGCAGGCATCAGCTCTCCCTTCCTGGGACTTCTGTTCTCAGGCAGGAGGTACCAGTGCTTAGCACACAAGTAAACAAGAAAAAAGCAACTAGAGCAAGTGTGAAGAGGCCGACATAAAAGACGTGGCAGGCAGCCTTTTGGGAGAGAAGTCAGGAAAGACATGTCTGGGCTGAAAGTGGATGACCCAGGGTCAGCTCTGTAGGCCCCGGGAGTGAGTCCCCCAGGAGGGGCAGGTCCATGCAGACATGCGGGTGGGGATGAGCGGTGAGGGGTGCCTGGTGTGGCTGGCAGGTGCTGCGACCCTGTGCCACTCCCCAGGCCATCACAATCGAGGCTGAGCCACGAGCCGACGGCAGCCGCCGAACCACCCGCTACGACATTGACATGACTAAGTGCATCTACTGCGGCTTCTGCCAAGAGGCCTGCCCCGTGGATGCCATTGTTGAGGTGAGTGGGCCCTGGGGCGGAGGAAGCTGGGGC